AGCGGCAAATGAGACGGTAAAACGTGTTTTCATTGCACGATTTATTTCAAACGTACCTATTATAATATTATAATATTGTGTTGTTATTATTATTATTATTATTATTCATTTTATAAACAAAGATGATTCAATATAAATTACAATAATAGTGTTTAAAATATTATACACGAATAGCATGATTTTTTATCTTTTGTTTTAGAACCTAATAATAACAATAATTACTATTATAAATTTATCTACCTATGAGCCAGTGTACCTTGTTACATATAATAATATTCTACCGATGACCGTTGGAACTCATCAGTTGACTCACCTGGCCAAAAGGCCGCGTTTCGAGTTTATCGTTAAAAAACTATACAAGAATATACACACATATATTATGTACAAAATAGGTAGGTATAGCGAGAAAAAAAAGTGCAGCGTACAATACAATTTATAAATATATTACAATAATGTATATGTACACACAAATAGGTAAGTATACAAAGACGGGGGAGCGAGCGAGTAATAAAGGGCTCTATACAAACGTTATAATAAAATATATTCGTGCACGCGCCTAAACCATTGGCGACCCCTTTGCTTAATTTTTACCCCCTCGCCATACACCGTTTCCCCCTAACCTTGCTCCCTTCGAACAATATTTAAAAACGGATTCGCCCTGGAGCCGTCAATAATCCACCGCTTTAAAAATGACCCTTGATACAAATTCTATTTTCGAACGACCCCCACCCCCCACCCCTTCCTCGGAAACCAGTGGCGAGGCGGGTCGGGGGAAACAACAGTCGGGGTTGTGTTATTGTAAGGTTTACAATGGTAGCAAACAGAAAAAAAAAAACAAGTATTTCCATTTCACCTGGTCCTCCTTTCGCCGGCTATACACTGGCGGAGGGCGCGTGGCCAAAATCCGTGCAGGGGTTGACGTCCCTTTGGATGATTAATTTCGCACGGTTGATCATCGCGGCGGCACAAGCTAAATTAAACGTTATCCCGTCCACCCTATTTATATATACATACAGCCTGTACAGGGCAAAGAACGTTTTATGTATGTATACATATTGTACACCGGACAAATTTACATCGAAACACAATTTGCAATGTGACGAACGACTTTTCATAAATCAAACAAAATGACTTCTCTGATCCTCGTTTAATATTTTTTTTTTTTTTTTTGAAACTGAAGCAACGGTTAATTTGATAATTGTATAATAAATACGACGAGAGTTTCTATAAAGTTTGTGAGAGCAAAAAATCGAACCGTAGCATATGCTTTGTATTTATATTTGAATTTGGTTAGAATATGCGGAAGAAAGAAAAATACTGACTGACGATTCCGAATGGGAAACACTTTACATTGCACGCAAAAAAATGTAGGGAGGGAAGATTTGTAGCTTCGATTAGCTATGGAAAAAAAACGAATGTTTTGTCCATGTGATTTATAAAGCTCCAAACTGAAACTAAAACTAATTTAAATCCAACCTGTAAAATTTCCAATTTTATTCTGAGTGTTTCCGTCAATTTTCTAAGTATCGCTAATGTTGTTTCTTTAAAAATACGTCGAATTAAGTGCAATTTAAGTACCTAGCAAAACTAAGATCTAACTAAACCTGTAATTTTAAAAATAATTAGTGTTTCTTTCAAAAAAGAATCCGACACTCGATAGCAACTCAAGTCTGTCCCACGTAAGAACTGGCCTGCGCAGAAACCAAATCGCGTTTTTCCTGCATACGAGAATTGTAAATATCACAACTAGGTGTTAATTGCCCTAATACAAAACAAAATCTAGGTCTGAAGTCTCAATTTAACAATATAATTTTAATATATTTCTCTAAAGATCAGAGTTGAATTTACGCTATTTAAAAATAATAGTGCGGCAGTGCGCCTATAAAATACGAGAGTGGACAACTGGCTGACACGCTTCTATTGGTCGACATTTTATCAAGCATATGGACCACCATAATAAATACAGAACGGTACGCCTATCAGTGTTAAAGTGATAATTTGTTTGCAACAACTAACAAAATGTTTAAATAAATGTTATTCGCGCAGTAATAATAATTACTGGAATTATCGCAGTGCGATTAACTGCAAAAGTAATATTATTGACATTGCTGCACTGTATTTGGACTCATTGTGGTGGTCAATGCTATGATATTAGCAGTTGTCCGCTCTTTTCTTATATAGCCTATAGGATCTCTAGTCAACGAATTATGACCGTTAGCTGGAATTACTGTAAAACGGGATTTGTTTTTAATATAAATTGTTATCTGTCATTTTGTTCCTATCAGTAGTGTCGTTATCGTTGACTTGGACGTGGTTGAAAACAAATAGCAAACTTTATAGTAATTAATAATTATCAATACCAAACATGATTTATCTGGTATTATCGCTTATTTAAATCTCTCCTCAAGTCGTTTGTTTTAAACGTAGTTCGTTCATAAGTTATAACTACCTACTATTTAAGTACGAAGTAGTTTTTTTATTTGGCGGGAGCAATTATTGAAAAAATTTTGGAACCTTTTAGAAAGGCAAAATGAGTTCAAATATAATTTTAGTATGAGAGTTAATACCATTAGGGATGATCGTCTGCTATTCCTTATATTCGTTACCGTTGTTACCAATAGCAAAATCAATAACATAATGAAAATATTTTTAGGATACCTGTTGACTGTTGATATACTCAAACATAGTAACCTTGAAATTTACTACGGTCAGAGTGTAATACAGCCCCCTTTTTTTATTTTTCCTTAATAAAATAAAGAGTTTGACTACAGAGTTGTGTGTAAAATATATATACTATAGCCCCATTCTGGATCTATCTATAATCTAATTTTCAAACTTTAGGCCCTAAAACTACGCTCGGTAAAAAAATAAAGAATAAGTTTCTAACCCTTCTAGGGAAAAGGGTTTTAGTTTGTCAACGTTTACTTTTACTATGTCCAAAGAAGGTTCTATAGAAATATGGCCAAAGCCCAAAACAAACGTAATTCAAGAGGTAATGCAATACATGTATGAAAATGTTAGGTAGGTATATAATTTATTCTTCGGATGTCAATAGGTGGTTGTACAAATCCAATGCTCCGCGGTAATGGCTTTTGCCCATAGTATTATGGGCCTGTGTATTAACGCTTTGTACGTGGGATGTACTGCATAATGCGGTGAACGGTAAAATTAGTCGACCCAAAGAGACCTTCGAATGATAAAACAATTTTTTTTGTTCATTTTCCCTGAAAAGCTTGGGGATAAACCTATCTAACTTATACAAGGGAATTGCTTCATGGAAAACAAGTTTGTTATCAACCTCATTATTATTATTGCTTTACCATTCACGGGGGGGGGGGGGAGAATATAAGTAAATAATTTGTTTATGGCACGCTTTGGACACATACCGATTCAATAGTCAATACACATTGAATGCCATGGACTGGGTTCAGCAGAGACCCAAGTTCATCCGGCCCAATTAAAAATATTCGGTTTACTAGATGTCAAAATAAATGTTCACACCAAGTTCGAACAAACGTTATTTATCAATTATTGTTAGATGATGTTTTCCTATTTTCTTAGAGGAAGATATTTTTAAGTAAAATATCTTTTTTAAACTTTTAACTTTTGTTAACCATTTTAAGAATGAAATAAATTGTTTAATACTAAAAAAAGGGTTGTGTTGTTACTATTGAACCAAGTTACCTAACAAATTAACACAGCATACCTACTTTGCATACTCGTATTTAAGATTTAGTAATCCCGTAGTAAATAATTTTGTATTTTTAACCAAATTAAAAAAAAACCTAATGTCAATAAATAATAATAATAGTAATATAATGTTATAGGTAAAATAAGTTATACAGAATTTGTCAAAAAGCAATTTTTATTTTTTATTTTTCACACTAAGTGGAGAGTGCAACAAGTCATATTTTTTTAAATTAATAATCTCAAACTGCGGGAAAGGAAAGTTTTTGTCCTTTTAATAAGTTTTGTATACTTAAAAAATATTATTTTAGAATTTTTAACATTTTTAGACTGGGCACTCTTGTCTTACAAACTCAGAGCCGATTAAATTTTTAATTTCTTCGGATTAAAAACTATTTGCTAAGCCTTGTATCGCTTTTATTGGTCAAAACCAAATATTTCGTTTTTGGCGAACAATAGTAGTATACAACGCAGTAAATTGTAAATTATATGTTTAAAACTGTAATTGTCTATCTCCCGCACCTAAATACAGGAGTTTTGGACTTGCGATCAACAAAAGGCCGTAAACTCCCAACAAGTCTCCGTGGTTCTGAAATTGTGGTTTTTGCGAAGAAATATTTTAGGTAGGTACTACTCGATGAAATTTCAAATTACCGAAATTAAGCGAAATATTGCTGTGCGTGCAAAATATTAACACCAAGGTATAGGCATATTAGGCTGTAGGTGCGCTTATCGATATTGTTGTAAACAAAAGCAATGACGGCAAAAACCGGTTTAATGTTATTATTTTATTTGCACCGACGTTTGGAATAAAAAAAATAATTCGTATTATCCAAACGCGATTATACGAGGGGAAACCGAAAAGCGTATCTAATTTCGGAGTACCTAATCCAAAAAAAAAAAGATCCGTTATGTGTTATGAATCAGCGACTCTCATTGTTGTCGTTAAATGTATTTAACACCCTTAAAATCGCAAATGTCATTCGTCGCGCAAACGGTAGGGTGAGTCGACAACGAACAAAAAAAAAAACAGGTGAACCCTTAGGGTAAGAGGGTGACGTCACACGTGGGTGGCGGTGACGGCGGCCATGTTGCCCGGTAGTAGCACGTGCCGACGACGGCCGTGTGACCGCCCTCGCGTCCAAGAGGGTTAAAAAAGTGAAAAAAAAAAACAATGGCTCCAAAAAAAAAAAAAAAAATAGATAAGTAACAAAATAAACTTGGTCTACCAAACGCCACAAACGAGTGAGTCGGGATGTGCAAACTAATAAAAAAATATTCGAAACGGTCAAATTCAAAATTGATAACGTTACCATTTTTCCGTTGGGGTTTCGCCTGTTTCCTCCGGCCTCTGGACGGCGACAACAGCTCGGCGGGCCTGTGCTGGTCCTGGTGTTCCGTTTGCGGTTCCATTTCTCATCGAGACGATTCCCGTACCATCCGTTCCCATCAATTTTCAAAAGGCAACCGTCGCCGCCTCCTCGCAGAGCTCGTGTTTACCAAAAGAACCGGTGACGACAACAACACGATCGCGTATCGCACTGGGGTGGGGGGGGGGCGGTAGCGGGGGATGAAATATTATAATCGAAAATCGAGTGTATATAAAAAAAAGGCGCACTCCGATGACGGCGGCGGCGAGCCGATATGTTATAATATTTCAATGTCGGAGACAGGCAGTACGCGGAAAAGGGTTTGTATAGCTTGCGAAGATGCGAGCTGTGCGGCTGGCTAGGCGACACTTTGGATAAACGACGGGGTTAATTATTTTTATTATTATTTGGAATAAAAAATGATTTACAGCGGTTGAGTGGTGTACGACGACGGGTAGTGCGGTTTGGGGGTGAAAATTAAAAAAAGAAGACGTGAAGGAGGAAGAACAGAAGAAGAGCGTAGCACGCGCGGAGAGCGGGTGTAAAGTGCGCGGCGCGAACGTCAAACCACCGGCATTGCTAGTCCGGACTACTGGCGGCCCGACGTGTTGTCCGTCGGTGTCGGTGTCGGTGCCGTGGACGCCGTTTCCAGGGGGACCGTCTGAGCGCAGCACACGCAGTACAACACACGTTGCGGCCGCCGTTTACGGGACGACGGGAGGGGGGCACAGCCCGCGTGTGTGCGTGTGACGGTGATACAAGGTGGACAGCGCGATGGGGTGCGGGGCGGCCAATTTATCGTGAACGGTGAATCGGTGATCGGCGTGGGGGTAAGTGGGCGTGTTGTAATCCTTTCACACGATAAAATTGATCTTGGCCGCCTTAGCCGCCGCAGCAGACACTAGCCGATGTCATGTTACCCTAGATTCCACACACGTCACACCGCGATAGGTTACAACACCTATTATATACTATGCGTGATTAGTTGGTGTGCTTGGAAATTTTATAAAACAAAAAATTTATTAGGTATGACAACAAAATTATTAATTTTTTTTTTGATAATGTTTTTATTTCGAAAAAATTATAAAATGTTAGTTTTTAATAATAGTTTATGAGTAAAACATAAATTTCTCCTCTAAATTATACATTAACATTTATTTTTTTTATTTTTAATGCAAATGTCGCCAAGCAGGAAGATAGGGGTAAAAACAATACTGTCGTTCTTGAAAATTAATAAATAACGCCATTAAAACTAAAAATTTTATGACTAAGGACTACTACAGGCAAAATAGGACAGTAATTAATTGCTGATAATAGTCTAACTAACGGCTAACCTACATAACCTAGTATAGAACCCATACAACATTTTGGATAGCTAAAACAGCAAGTTTTATAAGCGACGAAACGTAAATGTTATTTTTTTTTCAGTAATAGTTTTAATAATTTTACTGTTGTCTAATACTTAAAATATTTTGTAGTTTAAAAGATTTTTTTTTTTTATTTATGATTAGTACCTATTTTTTAAATAAATATATTTTAATTGCATAACGAACTTACGATTTTTGAAAGAGTTAAAGACTTTAGAGACGTCAGACGAACTTGATATACCCAAGATTTTTGATCAATTTTGACTTACTTACGTCTACGGTATATTGGTTGGTACTGGGTACAATACAACATTGTACACACACGGAAAAAATGTATAGTTGGTTCAAGTCAAATTATGGTTAATATAGGAACACAATACATTTCTAGTTGGAATAACTAAATAAATAGTTGGCCCAACTAAACATAAGGTTGGCCGGACTAAATGTATAGAGTCGTTCTAACAAAAATTAGTTAACTAAACTATTTATTTAGTTATTCCAACTAGAAATGTATTGTGTCGCTATATTAACCATAATTTTAGTTGGGCCCACTATGTATTTTCTTTTGTGTACGATACCATTGACTGCACCGCCGGACCGTTTTTTAAAGACTTATCGTATCTACTATTGGCTAACTCTGTTACTCTGTTACTATTGGTTAAATCTGTGTCCTCTGAGTTAAATCAAAATTATAATGAGTTGTTTTCGACCAAACGTCTATGTAAAGGCCTTTTGGCTTTTACAACTTTATATTTAGGATGATATTTTTTATTAGACTATTGCAATATCACATTATTGATTAAAAACAGTTTTTGATATTTTTATGTCTTTGCTATGACAACACATACGGAAAATCGACACCGGTTATCACAAAGAAAAATAACAGCTGATTTATCTGATAAGAAAGATAAAATATAAGGGAAGGAGATAGGGGCGAGAGTCAGGGAGTGAGAGTTAGGGTAAGAGTAGGGTGAGAGATAGGGGGTAATATATAAGGGTTGTGGTTAGGGGTGGGGGCATATATTTTGTATTCACAACGTTCAAAGTAGAAATGAACAATAAATTCAATAATTTAAGAGGCCAAATTCTTTATGATTTGTTTTGGGCCAGATATTATGAAAACACTAAAATATTAGCCAGAAACTTGATATGTTTACCCACCTTAGATACATACAAATGTATCCCGTGGTGTTGCGGACTCGTACGCGAGCTGTTAAAATATAATATGTAATACCATGTGAAAACCTTTAATAAAGCCTTGCAAACCTCATTTATTTCTTAACAATAATTAAGTTATTCGCTTCTAAGTTTTATCAAAACTTTAGATTGAAAATAGTTCCGTAGCTCTTTGATAAACAAAATGCATAAGCTAGGTCTTGTTGGTTGGCGAAGGAATTTTTTCGATTATTTACTAACAAATTTAAGACAAAACAATTCGATTTCACTTTTTTTACTTAGCATTATTAAAAAATATTTATAATGTATGCACAGGGTGATCCACTTATCGCGAACCACTCAATATCTCATAGGGTTTAATAAGAAATTTAATTTTTTTTTTCATATTATTTGTATACAATGTGATCTCAATTTTTCACAATTTTTTTTTGTTTTTACCCCCTCCCAACTTAGTTTTTTTGATAGCAACTTTTGAAACTTAAATGGCAACGCATACATTTCATTATCTTTATAAGTTGAGAATAATGTACTAAAAATGTTGACTGTTCGATAACCAGTTTTAGATAACAACATTTAAAGTATGAGAGTTTAAAAATTATGAAAGGAGGGGAAGTGCGGTTAGGAAGTGCTCTCAGATAAAAATAATACAACACTCCACCTTTCCTCCTGTCCTGAACTTGAAACTTCAAAAATAGTTATTTAAAACTGGTTATCGACCAGTAATATTGTAATTAATAAAATAATATTATAAGTAATATTATAATTAGTATTATAATTTAAATCAGGATAATCCTAATAATATTATATAATTATTTTAGCCTTCCACCGAAATTTAAAGTCTTCTCAAAAAATCATAATTTGATGTACAACTATTGATGTATAACATACAGGGTGATCCACTTATCCACTTCCCCTCCCATCATAACTTTAAAGCTCTTATAACTTTAAAAATAACCAATTACAGCATTTAAATTCCTAAATGTCTTCTCAGCTTCGCATCTAAGTTAAAACATCAGCTGAGAGTACATTCAATTAATGTTGAAACTAATTACTATGTACTACTTGATCTTTGTCGGGTAACAGCATCGTAATTTTAAGTAGGTTTTTTGAAATAGATTTAATGTAATAATCACTTTTTACTTTATAATGTTTAAAGGACATTTAAGTGTTTGAAAATCCACTTAACTTTTAATTCCTTTAATAATTTCTAAAGCGAATCGACATTTCACAACTATTGGATTACAGTTTGTTGAAATATGCAGTTGTGAGTAATTAAATTACAAATTATGTCAGTTTAAACTTTAAACAGTCTACAAAATGACGTAGTAAGCGCCAAATGGCGGTCTAAGGGCTAGGTAATAAATATTGAGATGAGTGCAACCATTTTCGCAAAACCCATTTGTCATAATATTATAATGGAGAGAAAAGATGCCGGAAGAGTAATATCCTCGAGAAAATTTTAGTTAAAGTACAACATAATATTGAATTTAATTTTAACCAATTTGGTAACCTTCAGTAGTCATGCAACAACTATGATATGAATTTTCAATCATCATATCCATTTTTAAAAAAAATATCTCTATAAATTAATATTTTTAGCGTCTTGGCGATTATTTTGAGCATAATATGATCATGTCTAGGCTCTGGTAGCACATATGATTATAATTTGTTTCGGTCTAACCTGACAGGAACAGGATAGTTTTTAAAACTTCAAAAACTCTTACTACTAAGTTAATTTATAAATAACTTTTAACAAAACTCTATACCTAACATGTGAATACGTTATAATCAGTGGCGTATACAGGATATAATTTCGGGGGAGGGGGTTATAAAATAAGAATAGATATAATTAATATTATAAATTAACTTAATTTGAATAATTTATTAATAGTTATGCTAATTATAATGCCTAATTATAATTATAATACTTCTTAAATTAAAGAATAAAATCTAACTTTCGAGGCAGCTTTGCAAAATTATTAATTACTTCTTCGGTGTCTATTGAAATAATTCGATGAATTGACATGAGGGATAATCCTGTTAGTTGATTTTCACTTGTACTATTTCTCAAGTACCACTTCAATCTTTTTAATGTCGAAAAAGATCTTTCGGATGACGCTGTTGATACCGGTAAAGTCACTAATATTGACATCGAGCACCATGTATTTGGAAAAAAATCAACGGATACATTATTCAAAGTATCAATAGCAGAATTTGGACACTCGTTCTGAGCAACTTTTTTCCATTTTTCTGTTCATACTTTTAATTCTGGTTCAAATGTTTTGTAACTGAGTAAAATATGTTTATAAAAATCTATACATTTTTCAAAGTCATTATAACTAGGTTTAAACTTATTGAGGATATTTGGAATCAACTTTTGTAGTACAAAAATTATAACATTGTGTTTAGAAAATCGTTCTATTAATTAATTTTTTAAATAATCGATAAATGGTATAATAAATATCGTTCGGTTATAATACTGTTCCGGTGATTCAGCTGGCATATTACTACGAGACGATTGACGACCAGTTATTCGAGGTATTTGAATAGTTTCATCCAATATACCTAATAATTTTTCGACTTCTAAAAACAAACTTTGAAATTCTTTATCGACATTTATGCGAATACAAGATAAAACATGTATAAATTTGCAACATTTTCGAATGTGCTCGAAATCTTAACAAAGAACGAAAGTTACCATCGTTATCACCGTGACTTCTCATTGCTAACTCTTGACGACCACAAAAAATTATTGTTTCTGCTATCGGAACTAATTTTGAGAGATTTTCAATATTACTTGAGCTTTTTTAAAAGAATCTACTTGTGTAGCTACGTCAAATGTGTTTTTCCCATTATTTTAACAAACTCTTCCGCTCTTAACGTTGATAATTTATGATAATCAGCATTTGAATGCGTTGTAAAACATTCGAGAGCATTTTTCCATTTAATAAATGGCTTACTAACTAATGCACTAACTTTTACAGAGATAGATTAAATGAATTCGCTGATGTGCCGTACCAACCACAAATTTCGGGGGGGAGTTTGAACCCCCCCCCCATATATGCCACTGGTTATAATATGTAACATGTGCTTAATCTATATATATATTTAGCATACTTAATATTTTTAAATATTAAAAAAAAATTTTTTATATAGGCAAATATATGAAAGGCTGCGGGTAAAAAAGATCAATGTCAATTTTTTTTCATTCTGAGAAAATCATGTTTTTAATTTTAAAACGTAATACATTTTGCCTGTATGCCTAAACTTCCGGCGGTCGTTACTCTCGACTAATCTGTTATCCCTGGTTCGAGCGCATAAATGATACAATACGTCAATACAAATAATAATTTGATACCAAAATCTCATTTTCAAAAAAAAAATTGACATTGATATTTTTTCCCCGCAGCCCTTCATAAAGTATTATATAGGCAACATAATATGTTACTTAAATAATAATAAATATTACTTATTATTGGCAGATTGCTCGACAACTACGTGTATTTATTATAATATTTTAATAAATAACATGTTTATAATAATTTCCTCGAGTGCGTTACTACGTATAGTAGGTACTGAATTCTTTGTTACGAATATGCTAAGATATACATTAGTGGTATACATTAGTGATGGGAAATAAATCCGGATTTTCTTAAAATCCGTATAATCCGGTTTTCGGTTTTCGAAGTTCAATGAAACAAATCCGGATTTTACGAAGAATCCGGGTTTAATGACAAATCCGGATTTCAAAATTTGAACTTCAGAAACCGTAACCTGGGTTTAAATAAAAAGCCAAATTACCGATTTTAAAATTCAGAAAGCCATTTTGTAATTACTAATTCAGCAGTACAAGATGACCAAATTGTTCAAATTAGTTGACTTTTAATCCTTTATGAAATGCTATTATCATACCCCTTCAATTAAATTACCCTAAGTTATATGTTTCTAATGAACTTTAAGTTTCATATATGTAATCTAGCTTAAATACAAAGTAAGGATGCTGTATTACAGTTCAGTAAAATGTTAGCTAAAAAGTAAAAAATAATTTTATTACAAGAACAATTTACCAATCAACTGTAGCACATTTTATTTAAAATGTTAATTACTTTAAAAACAACCGTAATTAACTACAATTTTATATAATGTAATTGGTTCTACTGCTTAACTATTTATATCAAAAAGTATTATAAGTATTATTACTATTTATTTAGATTTAAGACATATACAATTCCAGATTGACTTATTATTATTTTTTTATTTTTCCTCATTTATATACATATACATATATGTATATATTGTGTTGTGTATTTTTCATATTATTACAACTTATTGCTCTAATCTATTATAAAAGTGTCATTGAGACTTGTAAATCGTGTTTATACATAATGTTCTTATAACTATAAAAACAGATACCTAATTTACCAATTCAATAATTAAATATTTTTTTGTACACTGCATAAACGCGTTATACATAATATTAAATAATTAACTAATATAATTAATTTACTATTGTAAAAAAATTGAAATCCAATCTACGGATTTATAATGAAAACTCCGAAATCTGGATTTATAATGAAAACTTCGAAATCCGGATTTATAACGTGAACTTCGAAATCCGGATTCCGAAGTTCGAATACTACAACTCCGGATTTCGAATTTCGAAGTTTAAAACTCCGGTTTTTTGAACTTCGAAAAATCCGGATTTTCCCATCACTAGTATACATGTATATACCCTTCTCAGTAACAGCCAACGGGTAACCCAATCCAAATGTCCCCATGTAACGAGGTGAAGTTTCCATCTAAAATACAAATGGTTATTTACTTTTTAACAGGGATTAATTACTAATTGATTAAAAACATTGATATGATTCTGAATGACGGTAAGCAGATGTGTATAGGTCTTTTTATGGCCGACGTGTGCGCAGTACACATAATATGTTTTTACTCATATATTTTTTTAGTGCATAGTTTCGGACATTTGCTAACAAATTTTACTTAACATAATATCTGGCCAGCATTTTTTTCCGTAAAACTAACGGATATTCTAATCATTTTCCAAGTACCGAATGAAATTGTGTGAATTGCATGAGTAAAACAATTTAAAAGTGACATGAAATGACCTATACATGCGTTATGTTTTACTTGAAAGTTGAGCTCATGCGCATTAAATTCTTGTAGTATTAATTAATTATAAATAACTAATTCTTGTTTAAAGAATGTTTACAAATAGATAAAAAAATGAAATGTATTACCTATTTCAAACAGTATATTGGGTAAAAAAAAACAGAAAAATAATTGGTTTCACTAAACTAGCGGTGCAAATGGAAAGACGAGAAGGGGGATCATTCCAAAATACTTCTCGAATGTCCCCTAAAAAATGGAACGCTACTAAAATAATATTTGTACATTTATAGGGCTTCTGACCCTGTAAAAATGTAAAGTCCAAAGATCTAAAACCCTAGAACGTTTTATTTGTTTAAATACAATTTTCATTAAACACCTGGATGCATATCTATAGATTTAAATTCAGTATTTATACGACTTTTGTAATGGCCTAAAAATGAAGTTTTATTGTACAAATCCAAAATATGTCTTTTTTTAATCATTATACCTAGTTTATATTAATTTTCTTGTAATAAGCGACTCGACAAAAAGATAAGATCCAACGGCAAAATACTTTTTGTGACCTACAATTTTTGTAACTTATTTTGACTCGTCGCTACTCTAATGCTTTCTTTTAAAAACATTTTGTGCGGCAGCTATACAGCAACATGCTTATGTGCTGATTCAAAAACCAAAATCAAACGGTCGTTATGACTTATGAGGGAATGAATATTTGGAAAATTGTTTTTTTTTTTAATTTCACTATTTACGGTTACTTTATAATGGTGCTTCCTACCACCGCCAAGTTTAGACGTTTTTAAATGTAAAAATATACAAAACAATAGTTGAAAAGTTAACATGTCATACAGAGAGTAATTAACATTATTGCTAACTTAAAAGATGTTAGCTTCGTTTCTTCACTCAAAAGTTTAGCGAGGGAATGAAAATATTTAGTAAACCATCTTTTATTAACAAACAACATTATTTTTCCGAACAAAAACCATTTTAATATTTTTTTATCCTCCATATGATGTCATAAGAACCAAAGAAAAAAAATCCTTTATCAACAACTTCTCACAACGAATGAATTTCAATAAAAACAAGACCGCGAATGTCGCCACAAACATCTTTGCAAACCGGTTGTTGATGTGAGAACGTGAGTCAATGTTTTAAGATGGCGGGCACAGAAAACCACCAACGTGAATGAAGACAAAACTTAGGGACACATAAATTAAATGTTCTACAACTTTGAGCAATGGGTTTTTAAACCCATTGTTTTAGACTTTTAAGTCTATAACAAATGCTTTAGGATTCCCAAACGAAATCCCCATCGTTCAATGTAATCATGAACTAAAAATAACATCTCATTTGGATTAACCATCGATAGAGATTGTGCATGTATTATCTTCATTGAGTTGTGACAAAAACGTTAATATTTTCAGTCTTGTCCCAACTCACAATATTAATTTTATAATTGAGAACCAACGGTAGTTGTTGATAAAACGTTGACGCTTTATAGGCCCTATAATGACAGTGTTAAAAAATGTTGTAGTTTTAATACTTTACTGAATTATAATTGTTAACAATAATATTTAATAAATAATAAATCTTAAATATCAGTCACACCGGTAAGAGATGCACGCGTTCTCCACATTGCCGTTTACACAAGTACATTTAAAAGCTATAAATTATCAAATTAAAACATAGTTGGACAATATTGAAAATGATACTTTAGAATTGAACAAAGCCATTATTACTACTGTAGTATCGACAACCAATTATTTTTTAATACCCTTGCTGATAGTCAACTGCTATACAGAATTAACGTGGCCTCCGAGGAGAACTTAGTTAAAAAAACATAACCAGACTTGCTACTATATTAGGAATTCGTTTACAGTTGATTCTCCTGTGAACATTTTTAAACAACAGCTGAAAATTAGTTGTACATTTATTGTACAAGAAAGAGACAGAATTTAAAATTAAAATAAAACAGTCTGAAATTAAGTGTATAATAAATCAGGTAAACAACAAAGTTACATTGGTGTAAATTATGATAATAATAATAATATTTTTTAGTATGTGTAAAATACATTCTTTGTATGTATACACCATCTCTTGAAATTTCAATTAAAACAATGTTTTTTATCAACAATAAATTAGGCAAATTAATATAGATTTTATGCCAATTTCTATGTGGGCCAATGTACTTTACAGTATTGAGTCTAAAAATAAATACAAATATCATAGAACTATATAAAAAAAATAAAATTAGAAACTTAATTAATTTAGAAGTGAATAATTGAAGAAAAAAAGTAGGAAAACTATGTATTTTTATTTCTTCTTTTGAACATACGGTTTAGGTGGTCTCCAGCTGGGTGGTGGATTTTGTTGCGGCATGGTCGCCAGATTTGGTATCTGAAGTGGTACTTGACTGTTAAAGAACATATTTTGTGGCTGTTGGGAAAAACTTGGACCGGGATTGTTGTCATTGAAGTGTTGGTATAGATTTGGATTAGCATTAGGAGGCTTTTGATTAGAACGATTAACAATATTCTGATATAGTTGTTTGGCATATTTTTCTATATCACTTTGAGTTTGTAAACTACCCAGGTCATTGACTTGGACTGTGGGAAAAACAGGGGTCGGTGTAGAACTTAAAAACTTTTCCATTTTATACTTCATTTCGGCATCTTTAGCTTTCTTTTGTTGCGCATTACTCTGAACATTTTTTTTTGAGTTAGCATTTTGATTGGATTTTGAACTTGTGTTTTGATTAGATTTTGAACTAGCGTTTTTATTAGATTTATTACCACTTTCAGATTTATGAAACACTTTAGTATTAGGCAAATGTTTTGACTTCTGATTACGGGTTCTTCTTTTGTGTACGCTTTCACTATCTAAATCTACACTTTCATTATCCATCAAATTATTTTCTTTTTGATATGTTGTACTCGAACATGCTGACATCACTGATGAGTTACTTTTTATATTAGAACACATGAGTGGATCTGCGTCTTTTCTATTCAGCTTACACGTTTCCAAAATCTTTGATAGAACTTGAACATAGTATACCAAGTCATGACTTAATGTATTACTCGATACTATCGCCAAGCTAATTTCATTAACAACAAGTTCTGCCAAGTTAATCATATTGCATCCATTGATAAACGAAGAATAATGATTCTAAAAACAAGTGAAAAATTAAATAAAGATTAAAAAAAAAATACTTATTAGACCCTTATAAACTCAATATTTACAAATAAAACACTGGTCAGATTCTTTGGTAGTCATAAATTTAGAAAACGAAAAATAGATCTTATTATTTATTAAAAACTGATATTAACAGTCTAAACTTTATGGTACACGACATTGACTTGACCTAACCTAACGTAACAACCTATAGCAAATATTTTGCATGCAGATGGATATCATTAAACAAAAGTTGTCACTCACCGTAATAATTTTACTGTTAGCTATGTTTGGTTGTTCAATAAGCATCATAAATTGTTCGACACCAGCTCTTAAATTGTTGTTGAACAATATTGAATATGAACATATTTGAGACACTATTTTCCATTTATCGTTATTATTATTAACTTTTGCCACCAGATCTGTTAGATAAGGAACAGCATTTTCTTTTTTTTTATGTTTTTCAACTATGTGGCGTAAATCCTCTCCCAACTGATTGACCTTTGCAGGATGTTGATTTTTTTCAGAGTTCTTTTTCTTATTCTATAATATATTAAATTATTAGGTATTAAGTTTTATAAAGTACATTGTTATTATATAATCTAGTTTTAATATAAATACAGATAACCATACTATATCTTTAGATACTTCAATCACATTTGTAACAGCTTTTAAAACTGTCATGTCATTTGGAGCCATTTGAATTGCACGAGACAAGTACTCTTTTCCTAACTGTATGTCTCGTACCATATATGGAAGTGTAATTAATGTTTTTGCGCATTGAACTATTAAATGCGGATCTTCTGGGTCCATGCTTAATATTGTCCTAAAATATGATAATTATTATAATTAGATATTTTGTGATGAACATAATAATTATTGTTATTATATTTTTAAAGTACGTATACATCTGACTAACACAGCGAGCCGAACTGTTCGCGAGAATCCAACTACCGAACTTGACATGAACCTAACGCGAACCAAGCCAAATTGGGACGGGCTCGCGAATGGTTCGGCTTGCTAGTAATAGTATAATATAATAGTATAAGCAGCTTTAGGATTAGCCTATTTAAAAAAAAAAAAAAAATTAGACTACAGATTTTAGATTTCTATTTAAATATTACATAAGTGTACACATACTATTATCTACTTATAATCATTTAACTTGAAAACTGCACCCAAATATGAGAAAAAAGTTTTCTCATTTCTATAATAATAAAATACATTGTAAAACCAATTCCATCCAAGTTTCATATCGAAGCTGAAACGTTTACAAGTTACAACCAAGTGTTTGGATAAAGTTCGAGCAAAGACTTTTTTCAACAACTACAATTACAACTTTTTTGCCAAGTTTAATTGTTTTCCAGAATAAGATAACAATTTTACATATATTTAAAAAAAAAGGAAGTTTAAAACAAATAAGTTATTCTCTCAGGAAAAATTAAAATATATTTGTTACGGAAATATTGTAGAAAGCACACTTGGCCAAAAAAAATGTATTTTAAACATTTTTTTTAAATGTGTAATATTACTGTCTAATTCTGGAAAAAAAAAATGTCATTGTTTTGTCTGGAACTTGACGCTTGGTATTAACTATAAATTTATTTCAGCATGGAAACGGCCCATATAGGGTTATCGCTGACCCTTCTAGGGAGGAGATTTTCTAATTGCTTTGCTGTCTGAGACAAGTCGTAATTTTGTAGCCGGAAGTAAAAAAAATAAATAAAGAAGAATATACTTATTTATAAATAATATTGTCAATTGTTTTAACTGCTAAAAAAAATGTACCAAAGTATGTCGCGATTGTGCACTTAATGTGCTGTAAAGAAGAACAGAATATTTACTGTAAAATATCAAATAATAATAAATGAAAATGTAGGTTTTACATACTTAATCATTTTAACAATCATTCGGTTGTCTTTGATATTTTTTTCCATTTTAATTTTATCTCTGTTATTTTTGTCAGCATGAAACTCACTAACAATAGTTTCTCGGTCCAACACCATTCTATGGAAATTGTATTTTGTATTTTTACCGTCTGATAACATAATTGCATTTTGAATAGCAGTTTTTTCTTTTTCTGTTGGGCAGGACTTAAAAGATTGTAAGAATTGTCTTTGTGCACTCATTACAATGGAATATAGATAAAACCAATATGAACTCGTAGGATCCAAATCGCATGCTTTTTTAGCACACTCATTGGCTTTTTTGAAGTAACCTGAATTACCACCATATTCAATTAACACAGCAGCTCTTGCAGCATGCACAGCTGCTCTTGGTTTACAAGTTAAACTTGGGAAAGGTACAATATCATCTAACAACTGGAAAACAATTAATTAAATCTTGATTAAAAATACATTTTTGCTAATTTATTGTGGTAAATACATAATTAATTGGTCTTGGCTTATTATGTTTATTTAAGTTTTAAAACCAATATAATGTGTACATGTATTAATGCATACATTTCATGAAATAATAGGTCAACTTGTGTGGTAGAAAGCATTGAACTTGGTGTACAAGTGTACTAGACTCAAGTAACTTTAGGTATTGGGTAGGTTGCATTACCACATACTGTGAATCAGCAGTGTTCTGTCATACATCTCACAAAATCAGTTTATATAGAGTGCATTAGAAATAAAATAAAATTTAAATATGAAAACAAACAGTCGAGAGGTAAATTATATGCGCTTATATTTTAGGTGGAACATCTCTAAAAACACAAAGTCTAAATCTCTTCTCTTTCACATTTTCCCCACATAGCAGAATAAAAAAAAAGCTAAGACTTACCCATCGACTTTGTTCAATAAGGTTTGTTGCAAACACCATGTGAGCAAAAGTAGACATTGTAACATGTTTCAATCCAATATTAATTGATAAATAAAATTCATCGGAACCGTTATCTAGTTCTTCGAGCCATTTACCAATTTCTAAAACCTTAAGTTGAGCTACTTCTTTATCTTCATTATGGAACATTTCATAACTAATAATGAGATTGCCAATAAACCTTAAAACAAATATGTATATATCTACATAAGTATCGTAATACTAATTTGTGAGTAAAACCAAAATACCTAAAAAGGCAACAAAATTCTAAGTACCTTTCAAATGTAAATTTTGGTTGAGAAATATCCAAATTAAAATCACCATATTTGTTTTTAATACGTTCACTTAAATTATATTTATTTTTTCCTTTTAAATTCCAAGTAAAGAGGCATTGTAAATTATTCAATTTGTTTATCATTTTACTTTTGGTTTGATCTTCACTAGATAATGAAAGCTTACTTTTTCTTTCACTACTTGATTCACTTTTAGTATCATTGCTAGTGTCACTAGCATCATCAAAAACTAACTCATCATTCTCTTTTGTTGATGAATTATCATCAAGAGATAGCAATTCAAAGGCTGAATAAGCTTTCGATATCGGATGATTGTCTTCATTGTCAGTATTATCTTTAGGTTGAATGAATTCAAGTAACAATTTCTCAACGTCTTTTCTTGCTGCAACTACATTTTCAGCCGGTTCAGTTTTTTTATTAACTTTCGTCTTTTTGAAAAGTGAATTAAACATTGACGTAATCATGTTGTATTATTAATTTTATTACAGATTTCCAAAAAAAATAAAATACTATGCTTAATAGATGAATACCTAAAAATAAAAATATATAGTATTAATTTAATTAAACATCAATCTACCTATACAAATATAATGTATACTCAAAAAAAGTAGCATTACTTACAAGTTTAAAACGTCAGAGTTTACACATGGACTAAAAACAAAGGTGCCTTAGTATAAGATACACTGTGGAACGACATTGTTGGAAAGAGAAACTGAATTTGTGATACTAAACAATACGTGTAAACAAAAACAAATCAGTTTATTATTATAAACAGCAAACAATTCTTAATTTTTTGTAATTTTAAAATGTAATCTTTAGCAAAGGAAAATAGACAAACTAACAATTTAGTGTAATCTGTTTCAACCTAGCTAATTATCAGATATGAGAAATGTAGAAGGGTTACGCTAATTACTAATCGTCATTTAGTATAATTCAGCAAAGCAGCTGATGTCTAATTTCAATATAGGTAGGTTATAAAATAACTAGACTGAGTATTTTAGAATAATAAAATATACTAAGCAAAGAATAACTAATATCCATACCTACTTCATGGAAGTAATAAGTATCGATATTCAATTATCGAATACAAAACAAGTTATAGATATTTCGGTACATTAGGGAATTTTTAAATGCTGTCACAAATGTTGAATGTTAAGACGCAGAATCACACACAACAGGTATGTTGAGATAACAGCAGTAAAATGAATGTCGGTAACATTTGAGTTACCCGATGATGGGTATCGATATTATCAGGCGGCCATCTTATGAAAACTGATAACGAACGTTACTTGACGTTTTACATACCTATTCGTTTTATAATAATTATAATGCTTCAGTGTATTTGGAATTCTTGATTCTTGAATTCCGATGCACCAACCACGATTAAAATTGAATGGTAGTTTAACTACAGGGTCCGGCAGTGAAACGGGATGATTTCAATACTTAATTACTATTTAATGAATGAATAAATTTTAATTTTAATAAATATAAAGTATAAGAGTTACAATTTTATGTTCAATACAAAAAAATACTATTTTTTATGTACTACGTTTGCCAAATGACCTCCATTGTTATTTATGCATTCTTGTAGGCGGAACTTAAAGTTTTGCATGACCTCTCGCACCATATTAATGTAAATTGATTCAATCTCGTTATTTGAGTGTTTGGATAGTTTTTGGTGGATTGGCCTCAAACACTTTTGATTTAAGGTATCCCCAAAAAAAAAAATCGCAAGCCGTTAATATGCTGCGAGAGGTCATGCAAAACTTTAAGTTCCGCCTACAAGAATGCATAAATAACAATGGAGGTCTTTTGGCAAACGTAGTACATGAAAAATAGTATTTTTTTGTATTGAACATAAAATTGTAACTCTTATACTTTATATTTATATTATAATTAAAATTTATTCATTCATTAAATAGTAATTAAGTATTGAAATCATCCCGTTTCACTGCCGGACCATGTATATTGAAACCATGGGTTGATTTATTTTTTTATTTTTAACTTTACTTAATTATCAATTTATGTAATAGTGAAAGACTCCGACTAGCAAAATGTGTTTTACTTGGTCTGTAATAGATTTAGAACAATAACATTTTTTTAAATATTTTACACTCGTAAGGTATTGGTAAACAATAAATAAATCACAATTAATAACAAAAATAGAGTAATTACAAACATTTTATTGGTAAACAAAATCCATAAGTGTCAAAAAATAGATAATATATACTATTAAAAAAAGTAAAATTACTATTACAAAAATATAGTTATATATCGGATAAACAAAATTTGAAAAATGAAACATTGGGTACATAATATATTTCTTGTAAGAATGTGGTTACTGTTGAATCTATGGTCTACCATATTAACTTATTATCTGTATAATAAAATTGTACATATTTTGTAAAATTCAAGGCAAGTTTGTAAAATAGTAATAAAAAAGATTAGTATGTGTTGAACAATTTATTTTTTTGGTAGATACTTAATAATATAATAACTTTTACTTAAAGTTATAATTTAAGAGTTTAATCTTAATAATTAATAATATTTAAAAACATTTTTTACCCATTTTAACTGTAATTTAAATATTAATTCAACCATTTAAAAAAAGTTCTAGTAAGATGCTTAACCATTTCAGGCCATATGTATATTTTTAAGTAACACCATCAATACAGACTTGATATAAATCACTTATAATGCCATTTTGTTTTTAATGGCAAGAATAATAGCTTTATTAAAGTCCATAACAGTAGATATGTTAGTAACTTCAGACAATTTTGTAGCTTCGCTCGCTGCTTTATTTGCTCTTTCATTTCCTAAAATACCACAATGTCCAGGAACCCAAATAAATGATATTGTTTTATTACATGTCTTTAATTCTGCTAAAATAGCTTTGATTGTCGGGTCACTAGTTTGAGTGTCTCGAATTCTGTTGAGTACACTCAGTGCGTCTGATAAAATTTTAAAGCTAGAGCCATGTGATAGCTTTGCTATACCTATTGCTATTCTTATAGCTATAGCCTCCGCAGTGAACGAACTACAGTTGTCAGGGATTTTTAACTTGTACATAAATCGGTTGTGCACTATAGAAATGCCGACACCATTGAGAGTTTTTGAAGCATCAGTGTACATTATTTGTGTACTCACAGGAAATTTTCTGATAAATTCTGTTGCTAAATTCCTGTACAAACGAGGAGAGGTTTCGTTCTTTGGAAAAGTAGAAATGCTGATATCTACATTATGACTTTTTACTATGTTCGCCAAACTACCCAAATTATTTTTCACCAACATTTTAAAATTTTTTTTCGTTATATTTTTAGCTCGCTTGCTTCTTAATGACAAACGAGATTTTTTCAGTTTTTTTTCTTGAAGGTTTATTGTGTTTACACAGTTTTGTGTTATTATCTTTGAGTAATGTTCTTGTTTAAGTTTTTTACTCGATTCCACTTTCTTTGTGTGTAATTTAGCACTAACAGTCAGCATACATTTTGGTTTGTGACTTCTAGTTTTACGTTTTTTTAATGTTTCTTGTTGCTTGTCGACATCATTAATAATACTATCACCATTAGTTTGGTTGTATTCCTTTTGAGTACTATTTCTTTTACTCGAAGAATCGCAAACTAAATTAGCACACATCAAAGGATCCACACATTTTAACTTTAACTGATATACTTCCATTATTTTATACAAAACTTTCATTTGATAAAACATGTCATCCAGAGATATGGAAGTTGAATTTGTCGCTAATCTAATTTCGTTACTAATCAGCTCAGCTAAATTAAACTTCTTGGGCACAGTGAATACCGAACAATGAAGCTGAAATTATGTAATAGATATTATTATTAGTATTAAAATTAAAAAAAAAAAAAACTGTTTTAGTTACCGTTACAACATCACTAGTGGAAATATCTTTTTGTTCAATAAGCATCATGAAGTATTCTAATCCAGCTTTTAGATTTTTTTCGAATAGTATCGTATATGAACAAATTTGAGCCAATATGATCCACATGTTAAGTCCATCATATTTTTTTAACAAATCTGTTAAATAAGGAATGGCATTTTTATCTTGTTGATGGTGTTCTACTATTAGTTTTAAATCTTTTTCTAACAAAGATTGGTCATCTTCAAGAGTAGTATTAATAGAACAGCCATTAATCAAATTCTGCAAAGTTAAAATATCTTAATAACATACATAAAATGCTTTTATAACACAAAAAAAATATCTTTCAAACACTATATTACGACTTTGTCTACGTTAAAATCGGTTTAGCCGTTTCAAAGATTAACCTGGAAAAACTTTTCAATTTTATTTATATGTATGTATGTATTACCCACAATTTGTCCACGTGGAATTTAAAAAATAAAAATAAAATTTGTTTAAGTTATAAGAATTTATTATATATTTGTGAAACATATTGTATAATAGGCATAGCCATCATTCATCCCTTTCAAACCTACTTTCATTCTAGATATACTATTTTACTACTTTTTTATTTATAAGTATAGATAGTAATATTTTGCTTCGAAAATGGTTTACCTAGAGTAATATTAATTTTTTGATCCTATAACATAAAAAGTTTAAAGCTTACATATACTTATTTTTTCAAATAGAATCTTACTATTTCATTGAATACTTCTGTAGCAACCGCAATTGCATTTTGAAGTGTCAAATCATTTGGAGCCATTTGTAATGCTTTCGTTATAATCTGTTCTCCTAATTGTTTGTCATGAACCATTAGCGGAACAGTCATCAATGTCCTTTTACACATAACAACCAAATACGGATTATTGGGTTCCATATTTATAATTTTCCTATAAGAATTAAAAATTTTAAAACTTGAATTACTAATTAAAAGTGTAAAACGAATAAAACTCACTGGAAAATTTCAAAAACCACTTTGTTAACCTCTGTGTAGTCATTCTCCATTGAAATTTTAGTTTTAGTGCAATGAAAATTATTTATTAAAGAATCCCACTCTAAAATAAGGCTATGAAAATCCAACTGCCAATTTATTTCATTTGCCAATGAAATTGCATGTTGAATTGTATCCTTTTCTTGCTTTGTTGGATTCGAATACAAATCTTTTCCAAACAAAAAATGTCTACTAGCCGTGTGTACTAAAGAATGGATGTAATGCCATTGCCAAGTAGTCGGGTCTAAACTACATGCCTTTTTGACATATTTTTTAGCCATCTTAAAATCTTTTGAATCACAACCATATTCAATCAATACAAAAGCACGTAAGGCATAAATAGCTGCTTTTGATTTATACTCCATACATTCAAATGGAATAATATCACTTAGTAGCTAAAAAAAATGATAAGCAAATTGTATTATACAAATGCACATGTTATACATATTGTAGCCTACAGGGTCGGAATGGCGCCAGGGTGATATCAAGTTATTTTATTTAACACTTCAACTTGTTTTCTTTGAAAGTGTAGAAGACTACCAACAGCCCACATTGGACTCGTAATTTCTTTTTTTTTTTTTAATGTTAAGTTATTGTAATTTTTATAACGGTATGAAAAAATATAGGTCAATGAATCCATTAGAAACTTTCATTTAAAAACATAATAATAATAATAATGTTCAAAATCTGATTACTCTATGAGACGTAATTCTCTTTTACTATTAAGATTGAACAATTAAAAATTTTAGTGACAAAGCCATGTTTACAACCGGACATTATGTATTCAATTGATCGATTCACTTTCACTGTTCGAGTTTCGACCCTAACAATTATTTAACTGTATTATAAACCACTAATGACTGAAGTTTTTAGATAATATTTGTTAAATCGGTAAATAAAAGAAAACTAAAATACATTTTGTATAAGATAGGGAGTTGTAAACTTATCGCCTATAGATTAAATATATGCTACATACCCATTTACTTTCATCAATAGAATTAATAGAGAACAATATATGCACATATGTAGACAGCATCACATGTTTTAGTCCAAAACGAATAGATAGATAAAACTCATTGGTACCGCTATCTAACTCTTCAAGCCATTTGCTCATTTCCAATACTTTCGTATTTGCCATTTCATACTCATTTTTTAGAAATAATTCATAACACATAATGATATTACCCAAGTACCTAAAATTATTAACCGAGTAAATAATATTAAATTAAGAATAATAATAATAATAATACGAAAGTATTTACTTTTCAAGTGTAAATTCGGGAATTGTCATGTCTAAACTATGATCACCATATTTATTTATAATACATGTTATTACATCCTTAGTGTCAATATCGTGTTTTAAATTCCATGTAAACAAACACTGTAAAGATTTGATTTTATTGTTAATTTTTGTAACGGCTGAATATTTGTCATTCTCATTATTAAATGATGTATCATTAAAAATCTCTTTGGAATTTATTAAAATGTCTTCAGAATCACACATAGAGAGTGCGTCTGAGGCATTCTCAGCAATGGACATGTTTTCGAAAGACTCATCAATTGTTATCGTTAGCAAATTTTTATCACTGTCCTCATCCAAAAAAAATTCTTCCAATTGACTTTGGACATTTTTTCTAGCAATTTCAATGGTTTCTGGTAAAACATTATCTATTTTATTATTGTAGAGAGAATTTTTGTGTAACGATTTAAACATAGAAGAAAACATGGTTGAGAATATTAATACATAGACAAGTTTAAAAATATGCAACTTTCACTTGAAATCTCAAAGAATAAATTTTTTTAGTATAGTTAAATTTCCAATAGAGAATAGTTCAACAAATATGGAAAAACTGCATGCCACATTAAATATCTACAATTTTTAACAAAATGATGGAAATATGAGTTCATTGCAGTTGACATCCAAGTTTCCTGTAAACATACATGATTAACAATTAGGTTGTTTCAATTATTATAATAGTTTTAGTTTTGTATTCCAAATTAAAGAAACTAATAATTAGGTACCTCATCTTTGCGGTTGATGTTTACATTTTTTCTATGGAATAAATCACTACGCCGTCGTATAAGACCTACGAATTGAATTTCGCATACAAAAAAGACTCAGTGCTTGCATTTCGAAATTACATTTAAATGACAAATTATTGTTTTGACCACTAAATTCTTATCTTATCTAAGGAGCAACATACAAATGTTCAGTAATCACACGACTTTTTTTTTTTATAAATAAACAGGCATGATTGCTAGATTACGAAATTTGCCTGTCTTTGCGCATTTGCCTAAGTCATGGAAGATTTTATAACTTGGTACCAGAAATTATAACATCAGTAAAACACTTCTTTTTCCAAGTCTGGGACAATTTACCTGCGGGCTGCGCAGTGCGCGGTTTTTCTAGAAATCATACCTGTTTATTTAGGCATGAGTAAACACTAAATAGTGTCACTTGTCAGCCATTGTTATCAAATTCACAATAATTATTATTCACAACAATCATAAGAATTACTACTCATGGGTATTCCGTATTAGTTATTACCACGAACTGAGAAATACCCATGGGCCATGACCATTGATTTTAAAATTTACAGATAAGCGTAGTTATATACAAAAACGGTGACCGATTTTATGCGGACCCCGCCGTCAACAAAGGTACATTCATCATAGACCATAGTTTGCCATCGGCCCGTCGATAAACGATAACGAGAGAACCTTTGTTGACGGTGGGAATCCGTCACCATTCTTGTTTATAGCACCGCTTATCTGTATGTATATTTTAAAATCAATGCCGTGACTAATCGATTCGCTAAAAAAAACAGTTCTAAATTTTCGACTACATTTTCTGAACATCTCAACTGCTGAAATAATTATTCACAGTATGCACACTAGGTAGTTATACCTAACTCGTGTTTCTTTTTATTTCAGTTAACTGTTTTTTTACACCGTACACGTTTCATTACATAATCAATGAAAACATTTTTCGAAAATTATTATACAGTATTATTATTATAATATTTTAGTAATTTTAGTAAAATGATAACTACACAGTAACCGACTTTTAATAGCCTAGGTACAGTAAACTGGGTAATTGTAGGTATGTCAACAAATGTATACTTATAATTAACATACAACCAGTGTAAGACGATTAACGTCATTAACATTTTTTCCGAACATAATATGATTCATGTCTGATATCATAATTTTGTTGTGGAAGCCATTTTCATTAAAACTTAAATAACCAACAAAAACACTTTTAAGAATCCAGCATACCGGGATCGGGGCTTAGTAGGATTGAAAAGATCCTAGATCTGTAAAAAAATTACACTTGCTCTTTTTAGTTACAAATACCTCACTTGACCTTAAAAATTATTGCAACTAAGATCACATCACACATTTGAAATAATTGTTGGAGAAGTCGGCCGTCATAAATAGGCAATCGTCAGGCAGAATTTAAGTTAAAACTTTCATTTTTTTTTTTAACAAAAAACTTATTTATTAGTCAGCAATTTTATTTCAATTTTAATTTTATTTTCGATTCTGTAAAATAAGTATAAAAAAAGTCCTAAAATAGTAATTATACATCGTTATTTGTCAATATAGGTATTGTTTAAAATAAAATATGTATTGTTTTTAACAACATATTTTTTTACCAAATAAAAGCCAGACGCTAAACTGTATCCTTGATTTGTAATCCAGTTTCATCATCAAGTAAACATTCATTATTATACTTAAACATGGTACAATGGGGACGAACGGAACCTGTGTTAATATAAATAATATATAAATTATAATATGTTATACTAAGTAATTGGGGAGCGAGTTATGAATGACAAGGAAGGTTTGTTTAATGAGGCTTACAGGATGGAACAGTAGCATAGCTCTTTTAATAAGGTTAATTATTAATTATTTTTACCCTAAAAGGGAGATTAAGCGTAATCAAAAACCGAAGACTTCAATGGGCTGGACATGCTATGCGAAGCCAGAACCATCTCATAATGATGATCATGTACGAGAACCCAGTGGGTAAGAGACCACTGGGAAGACCACGATTGAGGTGGGAAGATGTGATAAGAAAAGACGTGGAAACACTGAACGGAGGACGGGATTGGAAAACAAGAGCAGTGGATAGGGAAGGCTGGAGGATTGCTATTGCCAAAATGTATTTAATAACAAAGAAATTCTTTATTTATAATATTATAACATATTAATTAACAATATCTTGTGTAAAGTATACACAAAAAAAATACAAATTTTTTTTAAATTAATTTTTCACATTACATTCATAATGAAGAAGTGAAATAAATTAAGTTTTGAATTTTGTTTATATTTTAGACTTCAAATCGTATCCATGATGTCGTTGGACGAATCCGAGCAATTAATCGATACTTGGAAATCTTTCTCCAACTCTTCAATCATTTTTGTTGCAAGATCACTGACTTTATCCGGATTGATGAGTTCATTATCTTTCAATCGCAATAACTCCACCACAAAATCGTCCAATATTCTATTCGCTGCATTAGGAGAAGAATCAGCTAGCGCCTGTTGTTATCAGATACAAAATTTAATAACGATATGTTTTGTTCACGTGCATAGTTTATGTCTATTGATATGTTTGTTACAAGGAGATTTTTTAACCGGATACTTCTATTATATTTCTCCATTGGTTAGATTGAGATTTAGTAAAAGGCACTGAGCATAATACTATTGACTATCCTAATTATTATTTTTAAAATTGAAAATAATTAAAGTAAAAAAAAATATTAGCATCGTCAAATTTGCCAAAAATACCTCATATGACGTGTGGCTTAATTTTTACTAATCGCCAAAACCAATGGAAAAAATGTTTAGTAAAAAATGACTTACACCCTCATTTGTATGCGAATTTTGTAAAAAATTGCGTGGTATTGGTTATTTTTAATATTCAAAATTATCTGTGTAATTTCGAAAAACCTAAATATTTCTCATTTTTACACCTTACGGGGTTTAAATATCATGAAACATACATTTTTGTTTATACTTCTTGATACTTAATTATAACTCAACAGGAAACTGAAGAAACAAACCACACAATACTTGTCACTAGTATAAAGACATAATGAAAAGTAACAATAATAATTCTTCATAATTTTAATTAGCTATAGAAAATTAATTTTATTATTATAAAAATGAGTGATACCGTGGGATGCAGGAGCCACCGAGCTAACACAGACGAGGGTCTACAGGAAAACTCCTTCTTTCTTAATCGGCCTCTGGTGGAAATCAAAATGATTATTTTAGGCTGAGCGTCAATCGCGTGACGCTCTTATCGCAGATAAGGGACAGCTAAAGCCTAAACCAGTATCGCGAACTATATAATCTATTTTAGATTTTTGTACAAACGTACCGATTCGGTGTTGAATAAACATTTTTCGATTTCCGACGCATAGTCGACCAAGTTTTCTGGCATTTTGATATCCCTCGCTAAGGCCAGTCCGTAGTGATCGATGCGCGTTACTCCTGGCTTAAGTTTATGCGTATAGCAAAGTCCGTTATCTGAATCCGACAGCGCTTCCATGTGAAAACTAAAATCGTATTATATATTATTTTAACGTGTAAATCGCATATAATAATATGGCCTCTGGGCGTCAACTTGTTTTTTTATGTGATTACAAATTACAATACAGAACAAGACTAGGTCATGAGATATAATTTTACTTTTGTTTTAATACTCCCCGGATAGCGGACAATAAAATAAAAAACAATGATCTAAAACAATGCACATCATGTGTAACGCCAGCGATCACGTTGCCATAACAATAATAATAATAACTTGAAATTCGAGATAATGAATATGGCGCCAGGTTAATTACTTTTGAACATTGCAGTACAGGTCTTGGAGTTTGGTCAAAAGAATGCTGTGGGTGGCGATAAAAATGAATGCTCGATATTGCATTAGGTGTTCACAAATCGCCCACGCCAAACTGGATCCTTCTTCGGAAGTTGTGGCTCGGCATAGCTCATCAATTATCACTAAGCTATTGTTCGACAGTACAGGTAGAAAACCATTAATTTCTTTTATCTAGAAACACATAGGTAGATACTGCGTGTATAAAACAAAAATACCAATGCCAACCGTTCGCCTATGCCGAGAATTTATAGCTTTAGACATCTCGTAGAAAACGGCTATAAAGATAAGAACTTAACTTGGCCATTTTTCGCTAAAAGAACAAAATACGTACCAATGTCCAATTACCATAAAAGTAATTGCTAGAATCGACGTATGTGGATTTAAAAAAAGGCCAAAAACTCATTGCCGACGAATCGAGTACAGACAAAATTAACATATAATTATTATTATAACACACACCTCTAATACCCAAGTAGAGGCGTTCGATTCGATGCTGTCGCCGAAACCGAGTCTTGTTAGCAATCTATCACACATGCGAAATTGGGCACTTGCAGCTGGCACATAGCAACCGATCTAAATAAAAATAAACGCGCATGCCTAATTACATCCTATGAACACTAATATATTATATTATTAAATTAATATGATAGAACTCAGATATGTGCTAATTTCTATAGACATCATTATTGGTAACATTAAAATTCACAAACTTGAGCTATGATTTGTAGTAGAGCCACCTGTCGTATGTAGATACTTTTTCCGCCCATATTTGGTCCGGTGATAATTGTAAGATTCTTGTCGGTAGAAGCAAACTATCAATACAATTTCAAACCGTGTTATAATGTGTAAGATATAGTATTTCGGTGGACGAAATGTTGTAACAGTGTAATATCCATGTTTACTTACTACGTCGTTTCCGACGGGTACACTGATCAGCTCCAATATTGGATGCTTGCCGTTAACAATATCGATATTTTGGCCAAAAGTTGGTTTGCACAGGCCCGGTTTTTTGCTGAATTTAACAAACGACAAAACCAAGTCTAAATCCGCAATGCCGTTGCACAAGTCGTACACACGGCCGATATACTTCCTAAGCTCTTTTAACATTTCAAATAAAATTCTGTTTAAAAAAAAAAATATATATAATTTAATAATGATGTAAGAACTAAAATTACTAGTCCTGTAATGTTTATAAGTAAACAGTAAACACTTTACTCGTTAGTCAACTTTTCAACTTCGATCAGCGTTTGGTTAATACGATAATTCAGCTCGATCAATTCGTTTGTTGTAAACCTAAGAACACTTTTGGTCCGTTCCACCTACATAATATATTTTAACAAATAACTATTAATTAGTTAATCGCCTTACTGTACTACAAGTAGAAATAGTAATCAGATAGTCATTTCAAAATGAATAAATCAATGTTACTGTTTTAATGTTGAATACGTTTTTGCTATCACCACGAATAACCGCTGTCGTAAATAAGGGTAGAATCATGAGAAACACGGAAAATTAAACGACCAGAAAATATTTGATAGTTAAAAGAATGGTGGTGGATAGACAGGATCTGGGATTGTAATAATGATTGATGCTTGATAGAAACTTTTCGAGTTTTTAAACAAATCGAGTGTTCCTATAAAAACGTTCGAAATCTAAGCAAAACATATTAGTGTCCTGTGTCTCCCTACACGCTCTAAAGAGTACAGTTAAGAAAATAAATTACTTGTTTACATATACTGGGTGGATTTTTGACATCGAAGCGTCCGACGTTCTTCAAATTTAGTTGAACATGGAAACCCCTGTTTGTGGAATTGTTTGGGATCAAACCGTCCGTTTGAAATTGTTCTCCCAACTCGTTGACTTTATCTAAACACAACAAGTAAAAATAACTTTTACCGACGGTTTTGCACATCGTACGTATTGAAATTTAAATACTTAAATGTCACGTCGTACCGTGAAATCGTTTTATTAGTTCCGAATAGTTAGTGCGAGTTATGTCCAAGAGGGGATTTAAATTTGTTTTAATGGCAAAACAACGTTGAAACTGCGACTGTGAATACCCTCGTGATCGCGTAGCTTCTTTGTTTATGGTGGTTTCGACGATTTGAAGCATTTTCGAATAACCGCTGTCAGTAAGCGCCTACCGGTGTGGTGTTAACGAAATAATAACGTTGTTCAGAAATGATTACCATACAACTATTATTGTGATTAGATTGGTGCAAACCTTCCGGATTTGTCGTATGTAATGAGACTTGAACGGTTTCAAAATATCGACCAGTACCGGCAATACGTCCAACGTAGACTTCAGCTGCAACGTGTAATTTCCCTGCAATTTCGACATGTTTAAACTGTCCTTGGGCACTTTGGTGCACAGCCAGTATAGTTTTTCAACGTCCGAAAATTTATCCATGGTGTTCTAAAATTGCCGATTAATTATTTTTATCGCGACCACAATGATAACGTTAAAATAAAGATTTAACTATTTAAGAAACTGTCATAGGTACGTTCAGTAATTTTAAATCGCCTTCTTCGGTGACCATCAACTCTTCTACGGCCGTCTGCCTGTCGTGTATCAGCTGAATGTCGGTGGACGGTTGTAGTATACAAGACCTAAGTCTCCTTCGACCTCCGATAGTACTGCAATAGTTCAACGCGCCGTACAGCGAATTTTTTGGGTTAATCGATGTACTATTCAACACCAGTTCCAGTCTTATCGCCGTGTTTGTATCTGTTGCAATATTTTTATATGTATTTTTTTTAGTTTCTTTAATGAACTGTTGGTAAAACATTGCTTTGCATAATTTGATAAATCGTTTTAAAAAAATTATAATTTACTGATTATCAAGACTTATACACTAAATTCCCCAATCGATAAAAGTATAAAAAATAAAAAATGTATCATTATCATCAATAGTATACTTAGTATAGTTACCAATAAACATTGATTTTTCTACTCCGACGTATTCGAGTTGTAATGTGTTGGAAGAAAAAACCGTTTTGTGATTGAATTCAATATGTTTGAATAACGCTGCTGCAGCAGAGACCGCATAATATCTACATCCAGTCCATCAAAAACGATTAGTAAATATGTACACATTTTATCGACCAAGGTGTACAAAAATAAAGAGCTAAAATGAGACAGAAAGTAGATCTAGCCTTTTCTGTAGCATAAAAAAAAACACAGTCCAAACGAAGTATAGTATAAATGAGAAAAGAAGAAATTAGCAAAGTTGGGTAAAAGCAATTATTAAAATCTGAATACGATTTCATCCCATCAAAGTACCGCATACTACGATTGCGGGTCGATAGAGATGTTTTTTGAGTAAATCGGTCACATTATCGTGTCTTCAGACAATAGGAAAAATTATAAAACTTTCTCAGCTATTGCATCGATGCTAAAAAAATTATTTATTTACTTAGTTAACGTTTGTTCCAATATCGATAAACATTCTGGTAAAACAGCATTTTTCAAATATTTTTTCCCTTGATTTTCACAAAAATGTTTTCGCGACGCCGTTATCATCGTGCTCAATGGGAATTGACTTTTGATTATTTCATAAATGACCGTTCCTTGAACTTGTTCCATAAATGTGTCTGGTACAACAATCTATGGTAATTAATAAACGTCAAATAAATACATGGTTCACCACAACGCAAAATACGCAAAGCAGTATGACATACTCTCCACAATATGTTCTATGAGCAGCATTACAGTTTTTTTAGTTATAAGTTATAAGTTATCAAATCTACTCGCTACGTAGAGAGAAGGAAAGTGCATTCGTTCAATTATTATAAGTATTAGCACATGGAATTTGCAACATGCTCACCTCGGCGGGGTTGAAAATGTTAATCTTTGTAATCGTATTTGCATAATTTTGTGTATCGCTAATTTGGCATAGGGTTAACACTGGTCGTTTTAAATCGATTGATGCTAACCCGACCTCACCCTGCGCTGAACACCTTCCGATGGTTAGGACTAAAATAAAATAAACATTTCGTAGTTTAGTTTTACATAAAAAAAAACCTATACTAATTATCTACCCAGAATCACGCTATTGGTCAAGGTGGTAGTTTTAGTAGTTTCTGATGGTTTCGACGTTGTTGACGTTGACGGTTGTTTAACGTGATTCTCTATGCGTCTGGCTTCTAGATTTTCACTAAAAGTACTACATAAAAAAAAAGATTTTAGTTCTAAGTTGGTAACTAAGAAAAGATTAGTTTAACACATGAAGGGTAAATTCCATCCATCTTTACCCATCATGTAAACCACGATGAATACCCATATATTATTCTTAGTACAATTTTAATTACAGCAACTTATTTGAACTTAGGTTAAGTTACTAATAAACTTGTGATAACATGTTTCAGCTAAAGTTACATTTTCTATCGTTTAATAGAATTATAAAATCGTTAGTTAAGTCTTTATTAGGAATTCTAAAGAACGAATGTCAAAAACAACTCAACCTGTATGTGTCTGTTAAAAAATAAATGTATTAAGCTGAGCATAATTAATCTTACGATAAAAAATAAACCTAAGCAAAAATTAACTCGTTTTTAAACTTAAAATCAATCCACACTAGAAGGGATGGGAACTTTTACTTTTTATTCTTTATGTAAATGCAGTTTTCTTGGTTTGAAAATTTGATTAACGGACTGAAGGATATAACGAGACCTAATTTTGAGTCCGAATTTACATAAAAATAAAAAAAAAATAATACAATTATTTTAGTCGATTTTGATTATAACAATAAACTTTACCTATGTATTTTAGATCTATAAATTCCTGAATTTATAGATCAGGTTCTATCAGGTATCGAAGTGTTTTTTTGGGTGATTAAGAAAAGGTAAACAATATCAGTTATAATAATTCCTAAAGACTTGTAACCTCCCCGAACTCATTATGCTGATTTATTATTGTTGCTTCTAATAATATTGCGCACATAATAGAAAGTCATTTATTACATTATACTTAATGTTGTATGTAAATGGTATGGAATACCATAGTGTTTTTATACATGTTTTAGTTATCGCTTCACCTTGGCAATTTTTAAATTCATATAATCCGTTAATTTGCACACGTACATATAGTATTGTCTGTACGAGAACGTCAATATTATTGTATATACGTATAATATAATATATCTAATGGAAATACATATGTACAATACATTGGAAAAATATATAATATAAAATACATACCGAGTATAATATACTTAATAATTTTAGTAGTTAATGGTTTTTTTTCGGTGACATATGTCACCGGTGAAATATTATTATCGGCCAAAATTGTTCACCTTTGTAACTCATTAGTCGACATTATGGGCGCGATGAGTTGGCGCGGCGTGCTACAGGCCACCAAATTCGCGACTTGCTGGTGAATTTTGTTTTTTGACAATTCCGGATCACTGCTTTTGGCTTTCATCAGTACTTCAAGACAACTACTATTGTTTTTGGCTGCTAGTCGAACAGCGGGAGAGGCTATATCGGTTCTAGTGGCCGGCGTTCCTCTGATAGCCGCAGATCCACTCGTAACCGGCGTCCAATCCGGGCGGAACGGCAAACGTGCGCTGTCGAAGTTAATTGGCCGAGATGGACCCGGAGAGGAAATGGAGGACGTCGATGGGTTGAAGACTTTAGGACGAGGCACTTTGTAACGACCCGTCCTGACTGTAAAAAATATAACGATAGCATTGGTACGTTGATTACCCACAATTTTGTACACCATTTAAAAATGGTTATTTCAAAAATGTTATTATAATTTATAAGTATAGTCACTTAAAATCCAGAGCTTGAAACCGATTGATTTTTGGTTTTGAAATACATTATAGAAATGTTAACGGCTTTGGTCGAGTTACCGGTTTAAATACTTGATAAAATGTGTTTTACCGGATAAGCCCAGTTTAATAGTACAATTTTACTATAGATTAAGGGTTGGTTTTTAAAATTTAATTTAATATTTATTTTTAAAATAGGTTATTCCATCATTGTCGGGTTTGTTTTAGGTTTTAAATTCGTTACACTGTACAACACTGAAAACTAGTTAGGAACAATAATACCTACCCACAAAAATATTTACACACATTTTGTGGGGTTTATTCTCAGAATCAGACTTCGGCTTTAGAGACGATTTAAAAAATAAAACGAGCTAGAGAAATCTAAGGCTAAATTCGGCAAAAAAAATACAGCTATATTTTGATTCTTGTTTCAGTGTTTTCGATTGCTACTATTGGTTTTGGGTTTGGTTTCTCAATTTGAAAAATTGTTAAACAAATTATTGGCTGTAGGTGAGTTGCGGCCCGAAGTGTTGTTTACGATGTCGGAGACCGGTGAATTGCGGTCCGGCAGTTTTCGATGGACGTATGAGTTGCGGCCGCCGTACAACCTTTTTTATCTTGAAACTTTTATCGCCAATTTAGTTATACAGGACAATTTTTTTAAAGAGATCCACTCAATATCTTATAGCCTATAGGATTTAATTAATTTTTTAATTTTAATTTTCGCATTGTTTTTATATTATGTGATCTTGTTACTTTTGAAGTTATTAGAGTGTCAAAGTTAGGACAGATGAATTTTTTTCAACTCAATAATATAAAATAACTAAAATGACAACGACGGAACCGCTCATCGGCAAATAACATGACGAAACTTGACCTTAACTTGACCAAAAAACAAATTTTTGGGAGATAACTCAGCCAACCTCCCCGTGGTGTCTCCTGAGTAACGCTAATAGGCTAACATAAAGTGGTAATTATTATGTGGCTGCAACTCATACGTCTCTCTTCTAAACCCGGGCCGCAACTCATACGTCCCTCTCATAAGCCCAGGCCGCAACTCATACGTCCCTCTCATAAACCTGGGCCGCAACTCGTACTTGATTTAGGGATTGGGCCGTAACTCACCAACACCGAAATTATTATGTTCGATATTTCACTCGGCATTACAATAAGTTTGATAACAGGCTATTCGACAATTTGTATGTACACGCTACGCGGTAATAGTTTTTCGGTCGTCTTTCATTACCTACGGACCGCGGTGGCCGTAGTGCGATAAGATAACGATTACTGTCTAACGGCGAACACCGATCATTTTGTGTGTATTATTATTATTCTATTTTAATACTGACTGTGAATTTCAACGCAGGAATTGGAATTTAGAACATTCACTATGACTATAAAATACATCAAAATTTTCAATTATTTTAAGGAAGGGTTTTAAGAATTTCCCAGGAATCCTGAGATCTAGGGCTCCGGGGCACTGCCCCGCTTTGCCTGATGATAGCTATTAGAGCTACGCCACTGTTCTTAAACAATTTTTTGCTCCACTTGCTTTGAGCAGAAAATTTGGGGCGAGCGTATCAGCGGTCATCAACCATCCGTCGTCCGTCAATTTTGCCCTAAACAGCAACCTATCTGTCTCCTAACGTCTCCGTCATGCGTCCAAGACGTGACGCGACGTAACGTAACGTAACCTATGTGCGCCTGTTCATAAGAATTTATAATAATCAAACCTTTCGGCTCAACGGAAGTTGCGACGTAACGGAACGGAACGTATTTGGTGTGCGCGCTGCTTAAGGTGTTCAACATGAAAAAAATATAGCTCATCATTTAACTAATGTAGTTGGTCAATTCGCGCAACGCCCACTTACGTTTGTTGACATTGAAAACAATTTTAATTATTTTTTGGTGTCAACCAAATCTATTTTCAGTTTTGGGGAAACCCTCAATTTACTTAAATTTTGACTAAATACAAAAATGTTTTTAACATGAACTTATTTTTCAAAATACAAAAAAAATGGCTTAAAGCTACAACCAAGACTTTTCACAAAGCGAACTACCCTCATAAAAATCAACGAGTCATGTATGTTTTATAGAATATAATTTCACAAAAAAATTCAACGTAAAATATACATATTTTTTAATTATAGAAATGATATATTTTGTTTGCCCACTTCTTTGAAATTGAATTTTCAATGACAAATAAATTAGTAAGCTGTACTCATAAGCAAAAAATAGTAACCTATATAATACGATACATATTATATCTATATTTATTTTAGTATACGGTATACCTTACCTATTTGAAAATCATTGTTCGTAGTCTTCACACGATTGCCCGAAGTGTTGCCGATGTTCATTGTGATTGTAATAGGAAAAACGCTAAAAACAAAAATGTTTATAGAACTTTATGATGTATAAATATATATTTTTTAGGTATATAATAATTTATTTTTGAAATACATTTTACTCTTCTTCAGTACCTAATTCTACATTTCTACAATTAACTGTAAAAAAACAATGTGTTTTTTGTAATGAGTTTTAAAATTTCCGTTTGTTTTTGCCTATGGAGAACTGTTATGCAATTATATGGACTAATATTAATTATATTTAATTAGCTGTAAACGTTGAATTTTGTTTCAAAATTATAAATGAAGAAGTACTCATGCAATAGCCAATATTCATAGTTCGGCTTGTAGCGTATAGTTATCACATTTGAGTATTTGACCGGTAAAACGACCTGCCTTCGATAGTGGAGATGATTTCGGTTCGGCTCACGGTAGGCACGTAATATACATATATATATATATATATATATAAACATTTTCAACACGTTTTCGACCTTGCCTTCTGATCAGACATCAGTTATTGTCGAAACGCCACGCGCTTCGCTTGTATACCGGCTTATACGTTTGACAACAGCGCCGATGTTTGTGTGAATTATTTTTAATTATTTTCGGATACATTTTCAAAATATTTTAACTTAAATTCTACCACCCCCTCCCCCAAACTCCAGAACCATCCCCTCCTCTGACACTAGCAATGAACCCTTAAGTATCGTCGAAGCCGTGTTTTTTAACGCCCAAATTATGTGCGGACGGACGACTTTCTTGTTGACTATCGCGTGTTTGAGTGCGGTAGTGACGGCCGATAGCGGCGGCGGCATCAGAAACATGACAGCCGAATGGCCGTGCAAGATGAACAAAACGGTGACGGTATCGCGGGACAACGTGACGATAGTGGACAACGTTTTGTGGACAACGGGACAGCCTTCGAAAGGCTATCCGCCGTCGGCATACCGCGTCGTCTCGGCCGGATACGAATTGTGCGTGTGCGAAGTCGAATCCTGCGTGCGAAAGTGTTGCAAGGAAAACAAGGTATTCGTCGAAAACGTTGGATGCAGCGCCAGAAACGAATCTTTGCATAGAGCTTTCGGGGTGAGTTTTTGTCATTTCATTTAACGGGTCGATTATATTATTATTTTATAAGGAGCACATTAGACGGTTATAAAATAAAAGGGGTTCTAAAAAAATATTGCTAAAATAAATATTAAGATATTAATTTAAATAAAAAGTTAATATTATTTTATTCGACAATTTTATCCAATTTATTAAAATATGTACATACATTTATTTTGAATTAAAATGTTTAAAAAATCTAACTTTCTTAAGGACAAGAAAACTAGTCAGTTTATCGATCACATAATCCACGTTAGGCTGATAACAAAAATCAGTTAGGTTAACCTAATCTAATACACATCCATACAAGTGAAAAATATCTACCATCAAGAAACCAACATCAATAGACAATAACTTAAGTAAAAAAGATAATAGGAGCGAATTATCTACCTCTAATAATACACCATTGCCTCAAGCTCTTAGAGATTATTGTTTCCAAGGTTGAATCAATTCCTGTTTTCTATAATATTGTTTAATGGATTTAGAAGCAATGATTTAGCTAAAAATTCATAACATAATATATAACTAATATAAATTATGGTCTTCTACGTATAGAGTGAAAAAAAAAACGATTTGGTTAATTAGGAGAAACAAATGGACAACATTCATGTGTGAACATTCCTCAATCTTCGTACACCACATTATCATCACATTTTATAAATATTTTTTTCTTGTCCTTATAACTTTTTAATTTTAAAGAATTAAACAAACTATGGTAAATAACTACAGTAAGAGTTATTTTTCTACTGATAATTTGTACCTATAATATCAACTTGATTGTGTTCGGAAAAAATTAAGTAAAAATTAATTTATGCCATAAGATTTAGAAGAACCATGCGGGGTTTTCTATAAATCGATCGATTATTGAAGTAATACAAAAGTTGGATCAGAGTTTTATAGGTTTGTGAATTTTAATTATTATGTTATACGGTACACGTTTTTAAATAAAAATTATTTTTAAATGTTACAACTATTATCAACAATATTGAGACGATACAATGATTATATGAATATTGCCAATGTTATTGATAAATATTTATTTAGAATTTCTTTTTTAATAAAAAAATTTATTTTTTTATTGAAAGAATGGCATTTGACAATTTTGACTACAATGTTTTTAAAGAGCTTTCCTTAAAACAAACTAAAGAAAATAGAAAAAAAGAAACACGAGGATTACATTAGGTGATTTTATATTTATATTTAACAGTTGTGATTTTTTAATTTTTTTTTGGGGGGGGGGATTTTTCTATGTTGGTGTGTAGTCATGTTTCCTTCTTGAACTTGGGTACTTTAGCGGTTAAATCTGTGATATTATCTGGCAGGGAGTAGGTCAAATTGCATAGCTTTTGTTGTTACTCCAGAATGTGTTTTACTGTTAGTGGGAAGTTGCATGTTGGCAGTTGAACATATTAGCGGCTATTCTTTTTCATCGGGTAGTCGGGAATAAAAATATTATTGTAATAAAAAGATATACATTTACATTTTCAATCATTTACTGACATATTTAAATTGTTTTTATCAATGTAAATTGATCAGCGGTATTTAGCCGAGGTGTTGTCATTATAAATTACAGTAGTAATTTTAAATAAATACCAGTTACTTTGAATTCTACTTTCTATTACGCAAATATTATTATTGTAGTATTTAATTTTTCTTTCTATTATATTAAATGATATATATTTTGTTGTGTTATTACTAGTAATTTTTATTGTATAATACTGACATTAATATTCTTGAATACACTAACGTTTCTTCAGTCCTAAGAAGAGTAACACTGTATTTAGTTATTGATAATAATACAATGTAAAAATATTTTACTGTATAACAATGTTGATAGTTAACTTAATCACGAAATGCACTTAACGAACAAAGAACTGTTAACAATTTAAGATATTTTTATTTTTTATTTCATAAAACTGCTAAAACATATATGATCAATATAGTTTCGTGCTTTGTCAATAAATAGTATTCGAACAGTTATTAACAGTAAGTAAACATTTGTCATTATTATTTAGCATTTGACTGATTGATCCTAATTTTAAATATAAATTAAGAATTTAGGAAAGTTCTTAGACGTATTTTGTTATTTTAAAAATTAGCCCTTAATAAGAAAATATTTAGAAAATGATTAACACGCATACAAAAATAGGGCACACCCATTTAAGCCACTCACATACCTAATTAGCAAGAAATCAACCTTTTGTTTCTCAACTTTAAACTTTCGCGACTTACACCACTTTTGCTCTCGGCGGTTCCAATATTTCTGATCTTAGATTATAATACTATTAATAGAAAATATGATCTATTTTAACCATGAGCAAAGTTGTTAAACACAAATAGATAATGCCAATTATACTATATTTTAGAATTTTAGTATGTAATCTGTTTTTTACACAATTCAAAAAAATCTGATACTACGTCTAGTCTGGCCAAATGAGTTTTCATATTACTATTATATAAAATAATTAGCGAAGTATAAATAATCATATTATGTACTTACTTGCGTTGGCAAACGACAGCACTGCTGCGATAGGTGAATGCAGTTCATATAATACACATAAACTATACAGAATTATACACTATGAAAATAACAAGCTGTAACTTGCAATACAATTTATAAATTCTAAGAAATGAAACAAAGGTCGTTATGATGTCGTTCGCAGTCATTGACCTAAAGTCGGGTGGCAATAAGTTCATGGAAAAATATTATTGTATTACCATATTATTAAAATTATTGTAGTAACCCCATATAACCATTTACAGTAACCACCGTTCTTATCAATGTTGGACGTTTTCAAACAATCCTTATCTATTTGTAAAAAAATAAGAAAAAAACCGCTAAAATTTGTTATTTTCTTAAATTTCCTTTGTAATAAGGAGTAAGAGTTCTTTTCCACCCCACTCATCACAAGGAACTGGAATAGGGCAATGAAAATGTGCACCTGAAGCCCGCTCTCTTTAGAAGGGGGGGGGGAACTATTGAAAATAATTAAATGTATCAATGAAGAATATATAACAATACTATAGTTATGTCTCTTTGAACGATGTACACATAATATTTGTTCATAATTAATTAAACTATCAAAATAATATCAACGTTTGTTGTAGTTAATACAAACAATGCAAATTTTAACTTAGAAACAATTTCAATCCCTGTATTGATTAATCACTTATATTCCAAATATGAAGATATTTGGAATTATATTTGAAGTTATTTATCTATCTGTAGTTTATGGTAGGTTTCTAATTTTTATGTTATTTTTAATATGACAAACTTATAATAAAGCTATAACTACTTTTATTTATTCACAAGTATTCTATAACTAATAGTTTTTTTAAAAAGATTTTTAATTTTAGTTTTTTTTTTTAAATTGTACTAGTAAAACAACAATGCAGTACTTTAATTTAATAATTATACCTCATAAAATTTAAAAGTATTAATTTTTTTAGGGCTCTCTGTAGCAGTATTTTAATACATAAGTTATACAGTTGTGAGTTGAATATATAATGGAGAATAAACAGTGTTATTTTGCCTTTTTCTATCTCCTATAATTTCTAAAATATTTAATATTATAAAAATTCGTTGTTTACATTGTCGTCAAATTCTTAAACTTTTTAGAAATTTAAATCAGCGTATTAAAAATTGTTTATGTATGTACATACAAATAGCACACAAACAGTTAGAATAACACGTACGCTATCGAACTAAATGTTAAAGCTTATTTGTTTAGACCAAAGTTTAATTTTTACAATTGACTTTTTTTTTTCGAATCGGGGTGACAGGTCATCTTTTTACAAGTAATTACATTTATAAAAATTATTACATATAAACTATAGATAGTACAACATAATAAAAATTAGTCAAAAAGTCAAACAGGTATATATAAAACAAAATAAAATATGAATAAATAAAATATAATGTACGGAATAGTGTACTAATTAGGTAATAATAGGTGGTACTGAATGTGACGTATGATTTTTGCTTCTAAATTCGTTGCTCCAAAATTCTGCCATCATTATAGCCTTGTTGTTAGCGGCTTGTAAGTCTGTTACGTCACATTTGATGGGGCATTTGTTGCAATTTAACAAGTGCGTCATCGTCAGTGTCAATTGACTGAATATAGTAAGTATTTCAATTTAACCTACACAGCGAATATCTCATAACACTTTAAATTATGTAATATAAAATTATGATTAACTAACCTACATTAGGACAGAATAAATATTTTTTCGAAACAGAAAAAACCCGTCTCAGCTTTGCATAGAAGTTATTAGCTATAGAAACGTATGTGTCATTCTTCTTCTTCTTCATGTTCCTCTTCTATCGAAAGTTGGAAATCATCATGGCTATAGGTATGTTCTTTGTCCTTGGCTGCACTGAATAGTTCTGTAACGTTGTAGCGTTGGTGTTGTATTGGAACCACTCTCTTAGATTTTGCAGCCAGCTCGTTCTAGGTCTTCCCCTGCTCCTCTTCCCGCAAATCTTTCCTTGTATTATGAGCTGCAAGAGCTGATATTTTACACCCTTAAGCATATGTCCAAAATATTGCAAACTTCCTAGATTTTATGTGTCATAACCGGCTATTTATTTTAGTGAGAGTTGTACTGAATTTGTGTATAATGGATAATATGTGTACTATAATCCTTAGGAAAAAAACATGTGTTTCACTTTCTACTTACTCCATACATTTCACCTTATTCTACGTAAAAACTGGTATTTTTTGTACTTTGTTACAGGGGTTTTATTTTCTACTCTTTAAAGTTTACGACACTATAAAGAACTCTACAATGCACATAACGATGTTTATTATATTATGTTTAATAGGTGCCAAAGTTTGTAAATGGATCCGGTTTGGTCGAAGAATATGAAGATAATGCGTTCGTCGTTGTCTATGGAAAAATGAAATGCTCTAATAAGATGTACCAATTGGACCCGCGAAAAAGCTCAAAGGATAATTTTTGGATCTCAGAAAAAGGCTGGCTAATAAATGATGCTGGAAAAACTATCTCATCGCCAGAACAATTCTGCGTAGACAATTTTTCCAATTTAAATTTCGATGTACTCATATTGGTGTGCTTTCAAGCAACTGACACCGCTAATGTAAAGGAAGAATGGACCACTATGAAAAAGTTTTACACTATATTAATGATACTGTCGTTGCCGTTTTTATTGGCTACATTTCTTGTGTACGCTCTGGTCAAGGAATTAAGAAATTTGCACGGAAAGTCTCTTATGTGTCATATAGTAGCACTATTTGTTGCATACGCGGGCCTATGTATAGTTCAGATTAAAACGAACGAAATGGATCATGATTTGTGCATCGTATTAGGTAAGACAATTATGTAATTTTATAGTTCGCTTAATAATATATCTAAAATATTCTATCAAACGGTCATAGTATGAAATCTTAGTAAATTAAATACTGATTGATGGACACTCAAAAAACTAACAACCATTTAAAAATGATTATGTTTACAAATACAAAAACACTGTATTACACAACAGGTCTCGGTTATCAATATCGAAGAGAAAATGATTATTATTTTATACATTACTAAATAAAACAATAAAATATAAAGATTTAAAAAGTATCAGAATTATATCAATGACACACTAGTCCTTTATTTTAAATCACTAAACTATTAGTACCTAACGTTGGAATATTTACTTATGTGACACACCACATTACAAATAGTTGGAACCATAATGATGTTATGATGATGTTAATAATAATAATAATATGATGGAATAATGGAAATGTGTTGTCAAAGAAAAAAATGTTAGTATATAGGGTGGCCCAGGAAGATTTGACAAATGAAATAACTTTTGTTCTAGTGAATATTTTTAACATTTTTTAAAAAAATAATTTATACTCATTTGCGCTATAAGCACTATATATTTTATTGCACTTAACTATTTTGCTTTTTTAAATTATTTTTAATTTTTTTTATTACCTTTTTATTTAAAAATTCAAGATAGCCATTTTGTTAAGAATAATTTGCTGAAAATTTTAACTGCTCGATAACCAGATTTGGACAATTACTTTTTAAGTTACTAAAGTTTAAAGGGTAGGATGGGAGGTGAAGTGCGGTAGAGAAATGCGCGCAGATAAAAATAGCTCTACGCGTTAAGTGCATTAAGAACCGTGGTGCTTATAGCGCAATTGAGTATAAATTATTTTTAAAAGAAATATCTTAAAAATATTCACTAGAACAAAAGTTATTTAATTTGTCAAATCTTCCCGGGCCACCCTGTATATAGTTATAAAGTTAGTCTGATAGGTAATTAAGTATTTTGTAAGCAAATAGGAAACAGATAATTTCATTTTTTAAACAAATTTGGTAGTTATTTCATCCATTTATCAAAAGTTTAAAATGCGTTGTATTTTTAAGTTATTTATATGTTTTTCGGTTTATAAGGAAACTTGGCCATTTTTTTAACCTTTAGTTTTTGAAGTGCAATAAATAGGTGTACACTTTCTGATCTACAAATACCTATATATATATATGTATAATAAAATTATCTGTTTCCTATTTGTTTACAATAACTCTATTAAAAATATAATTTCTAGTAATAATATTCAATGGTATAGCTATTTACACCAACCAAGTCTGCCTGTACGTATTTTCTAGTTTTAAAATATATAGTAATGTTTTACTATAATATGATTCTTTACGTACGGTGCAGAATGATAATGACTCAAAGGTGTGGTTTTTTTCCAATGTCATTAAAAGTATTTAGTGTATGAACCGAGGTGATACTTTGGACTGTTCCAGCCACACGCCATAATTTTACATTTGTGGTAAAAAAAAAATTACTCAATGTTTTCAAACTGGTGTTTACTATTTTTCGTTCCTTGAATGGACTCTTTAGCCACTCCGTTCGATGATTATCGCGATTACATATAATTTACAATTTCATCCATACCATTAAACAGTAATAAGTAGGTAGTTTGTATAATATCAACAAATATAAATATTAAATAATGTACTTTTACTTTCCGAACGTTTTCCTTGAAAAAATCCCAATATTCGTACAACTAATCGAAAAAAATAACCATGGTAGAATATTAACATATCAGATGAACAGCTGAGTGGAAAAGGTTAATATTTCTCAACACCCAACTTTTGGAAAAAACATTTTATTTCTTATATAATTTTTATAGTAATTACATAATTCCTGCTATGATTTAAAAATTAAGTTTCAATGGAATATTATCCTTTATAGTTTATACGTTCATATTATAAGACATGAGTCTATTTCAGCTACAAAATGACTGTCTAAGTTTATTTTTCATATTTTTGGAATTTTATTTCTTTTCCACTCGGTTGTTCAAATGCAATCGATACATTATACGTCACATGTATAATATAGATTATACAGGGTGACCACGAAAACACTTTACATTTTCAAAAAGGCAAAATAATATTCATTTATCAAAAAAACAATTTTTTAACTTATGTAACATGTTTGGTGGGTGTATGCCATTTATTTTACGTCAATTTTCGAAAAAAAAAAATTTATTTAACTTGATATTATGTAATATTATGTTTGTGGTTTTAAGCCATTTACTTCAAGTAGCAAAAATGAGGTCAGGAAGGCGATGTCCTCTGTATAACCTCATTTATAAGCTCAGATACACAATTCTACTTTATTAAATAGATAATTGTATAGTTGGAAATATGAAACTTATGCTGGGTTGCATAATGAACTAATACATTTAATTGTCATTCAAATTTAATAGACTAATCACGGGCCACTAAAAATCAGGTATAGTATCATTAAACGTTTAGTGGACGTTTATGCAAATCGGCATTAGTCTTGTTAAAAAAACTAGCTAATATTAGAACACTTAATTAGACTATATTATTTTTGACACGGTCAAATACTCCTTTTTCCAAGTCTGGGGCAATGTTTCTGCGCAGTATTATCTAGCAATCAAGCATGTTTATTTAGTCATGATTAAAATATGTATGTATGTTTGGTAAACGGTTAATTATAAAGTAAAATAGACAATACCCAAAATGTCACGCAGACGGCAGAAAGCGATAGTGGTTAGTATACGATTAATCGCGTGACCGTCACTTGGCGTCCATTGTCTCGCCCACACAAGGCGCGTTAAACGTACAGAGCAGCATTTTTTAAAAACATTTTTATTTTCGTCGCAGTATTTCCGTCGAACGAAGTCAAACAGCAAGATTTGCAGAATCGAATTTCGGATCTTGTGTGGTCATCGTCTAATAACAAAACGATAAATAACATAGATCGCAATCACAACACATCACGATCGTGATTCATTTAACACTAAAAGCACTAAAGCATATCAGGAATAGTACAAACAAATTTAAAGTGGTGGACAGATGGTTTTGCTTTAAAAGAGAAAGAAACAATGCCACTCATACATTTAAATTAACTATAACAAATGTAAAAGTATTTCTCGGGACGAATGAAGTATGCGAATGCCAAAATTCATACTGGTAGGTGATATTTAAATAGCGGTAGGAAACAAGCGATACTATCGAGTATAGTCGCGACAGTTAGATGATGACTGTTTTTCTGAAGATAGGCATTGCAATGGGTTCGAAATGTTCGCTAACAAATGACAAACAGTTAATTTTACAGCCTGAGAACGATTTGTGAAGTATGAATAATTAATGCACCGAAACCGTTTACATTTTCAACTTACGTACAAATTTGTGCTCTGGTTCGTAACATACTATATTTGTTCTCTAGACTTTATCAACTTGTATACAAAATGCGTGGGGAATTTCTGGGAAAAACCAAATTTAAGTGGGGCTTATACCTCACTACATCCAAGTTTTTCACCATCCCGAGTAGGCCAACTTTTATTTACTTTACAAAAAACTGCTCCTATATATTACTCTGAAGGTCAAAGGAGTCCAAGGCATTATTTCTAAGCGAATAGTAAAAAAGTCAAATTTATATCAAGGGCGGAAGAGCTCTATCGATTACCTTTTTCCCCACTGGTCACGTATAAAAAAATTGTTCAAAGAGGAATTGGAGGAAAAAAGATTTAAAATCCTAGAGTAAAAAATGAGAAAATTGGCAATTTTCCTACCATATTGCCTTTAAAAATTAAGCCGAAGTCAAGCCTCGAGTATTATTATTCATTTTGGAAGAACATTTTGGTTAAATCATAATATTATATTAAAGCATAACAAAATATATTATATACATACATTGATGGTTTTTTTTTATCAAAAAAAATGTAAAATGTATATCAGCTGTATTATATTTTATTTAAAATGTTTGCTTTTAATATGTTTTAGCTTCAATGTTTAAATTGTAATAGTATTAAGGAGCTTATGAAAAACTACATTTAGTACTGGTTAAAAATGTACCTCTTTTTATGAACTGTAACAATTGTACTTAGACGTCATTTAATAGTTATTAACTTGTTGTATATGTATTATTATGTATATACATATATATAATTGCATTAATTGTGTATTTTTTATATTTTTTAGCATATATTATTCAAATTTCTTTTTTGGCCAGTTTCTTCTGGTTAAATGTCATGTGTTTTGATTTATGGTGGACGTTCAGGTAAATCGATAATCGTCTTTTAATTAATGATATATCACCACCCCCCTCCCCCCAAAGCCTTAATTTATATAAATATATTATTAATAATCTATTAGATAAATATTAACTACAAGTTAACGTAGAAGATTTATACGAAATGTCACAAAAAAAAGAACATTTTAATATGATATTAGGTTAAGGATTATATTCTTATAATAAAAAATAAATTTTGAAACCTCTTATTTTGTATAAATTTATATGTTTTTTCTTTATAAAATGGAAATGTATGTGCTCCGATGTTTAACGGCTTATATTTATGATTTTAGCGGATATAGACCTCTGAAGGGAAATACTCACAGACAAGAAGCTAAAAAGTTTGTTATATATTCTATATATGCCTGGGGATGCACTATTATTATATTGATCATAACTTTATACATGGATTTATCGCCAAACGAAACACCAAATGCAATCCGGCCAGAATTCGGAAAAGACCGTTGTTGGTTTTATTGTGAGTACAACAACAGTCAATATTATAAAATGTATAATATTTATATATTATAATTTATAGTATTATATTTTATAACATAAATGAATAATTAATATATATAATTATTAATATATATAGTTAATAACTATATATATTCTGATATTCATCAAGTTATAATAAATAAAATATAAATAATAACGAAAGTATCTGCAAAACTGCTAATTTATATAGTATTTATTATATTTTTTCCTTTTGACTTGTGTGAATTATTTTTTCAAAAGCTTTCGAACTACGCAGACTACTTTTACGTGTATTTTGAGGTACTGAGTATGTTGTATTCTATATTATTGTACAATGTACATACCAAAATAAATGTTATTTTATGAAACTGCAAACAGTTATTCATTTTGGCATTAGTAGATGTAGTATGATTAAAATTAAAAAAATAGCAATACACTTATTCTATAATAGGCAATAGCAAACAAAAGTACGATTATATTTAAGACATTGTTATCAATAAGATTTTTTTTCAACGACGATTCTGTGTAAATATGATTGTTTTATAAGTACATCAAATATGAATAATTTTAACTGTGTTGTGTACAATTAGGGCTAACAAATACTTTTCTTTGAAATATTATATAAGACCAATGCGACGAATACCAATGTTGTTGTAGCAATTTGTTGTCATTTCATGCTTTCCGAGTTGGATATGGCGGTAATCATTAAAATAAAAACTTTTATTATTTTCTTGTGGGGAAACATTATAGTGAAGAACAACCCAAAATCCGTTTAATTACACTTTAACATTTACCAAGAAGCAAGATTAAGTGTAGAAGTTTAATTAACGTTTTTTGACACACAACACAACTAATTTAATTAAAACCCATATTACTGCCATAAGTCATTACATATTATATTTTTTATAAAAATTATTACCGTTTCAGCAAAAGCCGCAAAATATTTCTACTTTTATGGACCAATTGGCGTATTATTGTTGAGTAATTTACTGATGTTTATTTATACTACAGTTAAAATAGTCAAACATATGAAAGACGCTAAAGTACTCATCGGGTCAAAGAGCAAGAAAAACATTGATCATGAAACACAAAGGTATCATAATTAATTTATTTTATTTAAAATATATTACGTAAGTGTGTTATTTATGTATGTTAGATAATAACAGAACTAGTTACCCCGTGCGAATACTTCGAACACGAAAACGGTTAGGTTATAATAAAACTATTTAACTAATTGTTAATAAATTGTATTTAAAGATTAGATGCAAAGATTTATTTATTTTTATATTTGTGTTACGTGTTGACTCACAATATCTTTTAAACTGTCTAACAGATTCCTCTATATGTAGCAAGTTTATAAATCAAAAATCGTACCTAAAAGTTACTTTATTGGGTCAAAAATTAAAAAAGGTCACAGTGGTCACACCTTCCCATTCAAAATCGAGAAAAACACCCAAAAAAATGACACATTTTTCAATTTAAAATTACGGCGTGCTATTAATATTTTTTAAAATAGTCAAATTAGTATAAACCCTTTCCCCTAGAAGTGGTAGACACTAATTCTTCATTTCTCTTTTTCGAGCATTATTACAATAATCAATGTCATCTAATGTTATTATTTATTAATCTAATTATTCCTTACTCTGATAAAAATTAAACATATTATATGTATAAATATAATACACTAGCTGGGAGCAAATTAGCCCCTCCCCTCCTAAATTGTCTATTGATTTCTGTATTGATGTTTAAATTTAATCTAAGAATTATTAAATTAGTATGTAACCAAAATATAACATAATGTTTATAATTAATGATATACATAATAGTATATCTTGGGCGATTGTTAAATGGTAATACACAAACAGCTGCAGACGTTAGTTAAATGTATGCGTGATGTGTTGCAGATTTTTGTTGTATTTAAAATTGTTCATTGTGATGGGAATAAGTTGGCTCACGGAAATATTAGCGTTTGAGTTCAAGGATTACCAATATATATGGAATTACACGGACATTGTAAACAGCCTACAAGGAGTACTGATATTTTGTATTTTTGTGTGTAAAAAACGAGTCTTGAAGTTAATGAAAAAAAAATGTTGCCTAAAATCTACACAATCGACAAGTGTAACATCGACTAGGACATTTAATAGTACATTATCCAAGTCGAGCTGTACAACTAAGGACTCGATCAAAATGAACAATATCAATAAACAGACTTCTACAAGTGAGTCGGTTTCAGATTTCAAGGCTTAACAATTGGGTGTGCGGTGTGCCCTTATTATACCAAAAGCATGTTTTAACTAGAAAATTCATCAGTAAACAATTTAAATTGTAAATACACTTCTCGATTACAACCCTAAAAACGTTGTGAGATACTTTTTTTTTCTCGTCTTACTATATGTATTATATTTTATTTATTTATACATGTATAAAATTTTAAACATACAATGGACCTAACTACAAGTATTTTTTAATTTAAGTTCACGACATTATGTGATTTTTGACTAGGTTTTAATTCTAGTTATAAGTCATTTATTATATTTTAAAATAATTTTAGTAGGATGTATATTTTTTATAAAGTATAAATATTATTATTTTTAGAATATCTTAAGTTAATTTTGCGATTGTATTTCTGCTCGATATACAATCATATAAAAATTTCTACTTTCCGTTATGATTATTCAATTTAATTTAAAATGTATTTACTCGAATTAAGTAATATTATATGTATATGCATCATGTATATAATTGTGAGAAATAAATCATTCTTAAACTTTTGTATTAAAGTGATAATTTATAATGTATGTACAACACCTTTTTAGAGTTGTTTTAACAATTGTTTAAGTTTAACTGAAATGTGCATTGGGCAGGCTATGTGTGGAGAAAACCAGAAGTTTTGCTAAAGGTAATTTCACAAGAGAAAGAAAATGTAAGAGTGAAAATACCATTAGGAAGACCGCGACTGCGCTGAGGAGGCTGTGCGAAATTTCATACGGTTACTTGCTGATTGCTTTATTGTACTAGCGTAGAATCGGAATGGATGAAAACAGTTATGTTTTGATGTTTGATCCAAAATGCAGTAACAAAGAAAAAACAATTGTATTTGCTATAAAAAGTTCAAATAAAAATTTAATTGTATTTATTATTTAAACGATTCCCAGGTTTGAGATAAAATCGACATTCCACGTGTTCTATTTAAACTAACCTATTAACGACCGGTGGTCCCTTTTGGGACTCAAAAATTAAAAAAAATAGTTACGGGCGTTAATAGGATAGTACACATTTCCCGTGCGAGAGTCATACCTCCTCGAAATTTTACCATTTTAAATTAAACAAAAGCGTCCGAAAAGGCCATTTCTTCCTTTTTTTGAGCCCTGGATCCAGTGTTTTTTATGTCCTGAAAAATTATGATCCATGGATACAAGATCTTTAAGAAATGACTAATTCAAATAGGCTAGTGTTCGATTTACTAAATTATAACTATGTCATATGTCCAAATTTGGAAAAGCATAAGGGCCATCTCAAAAAATCGTAGACTTTTATCTTAGAATTTTTTGTTGATTTGATTTTTGGAGGTGACTCGATGCGAATGATTTTCACCAACTTAAGCTTGTATTGTTTATGAATTTTTCAAGATATGTCATCATTTGGGGGACAGAGGAGGTTTTATAGTACAACAGGAGGGATATAATCTTGATCCTTAGAGTACCAATCGGCAATCACTTGTGATTTCTATTAGACAAAGGTATATTATTATATTGTACAAATAAACTATAACTACATTATTTCAGGCTAATATTTCCATAATAATTACCGTGTGTGTATACCATATCAGAAAAACAGGTAAAAAAACCAAAGTTAGACGCAATTTTTGTCTTATTTCGGTCATTTTTTTGCATTCTATTTAGAGTTGAAAATTAAATGAGGCATGGAATATTGTTTTTGGTGACTAACAAACATCAATATGTAGATTTTCGATTTTAACTAGCCGTACACATTTGATAGATACCAATCAGCTACCTATTAAAAAAAAATAGGTGTATGGGTAATTTTTTTAAATAAAATTATTTTGTACAGTGTATCCATTGGTATTTATACTAATGGAGAATGGGCGCATTAGTCATTACTAAGCTAGGACCGACACATCATACAACTATATTTAATATGGAGCGGCACGATTTACTGATACCTATGAAAATGACAAGTATATAAGCAATAATAGTATTTGAAGTAGACAATGGCATACAAATAAAAAATAAAGATGTCGAATAATTCAATGTTATTAAAAAATATGCTGAGTAATACAAAATACTACTTCACGCAACATTACCAAACCTACTCTCGGCCAACAGCCCCTTTGCTCCTAGTGTGGGCCCACGCCCGCCCCCAGCTACCGGGTTCCGGCCCACACTTTGCATTATTTGGCCTCCCAATCTGCCAGTCCGCCCTTTTCCTAAAGCCTACTCATGGCTATTGTTTAAGTTTACACTATAGGCTGTCCTGGAAAATAATGCTTTATCTATAATATTATCTTTTGATTAGTGTTTCACGAGAACAAGTACAGCACAAATCACGATTAAAGAATATAATATATTTCATCGTGATTCGTGGAGTACGCTGTACAGACTACAGCAGAGTACAGTCCCACAATTGTAAAAAAGTATTATTGTAAACTTTGTTATCTCATTCGGTACCGAGGTGGTTATCATTTGGCCTTATCAGTATTTATTCTCCGGTGTACGTACGATAAAATATTATTTTGCTTACACAACATTTAAAAACTCAATTACAAATATTGTAATGAATATTCTATAGATTTTATACTATTATTATTGTTTTGTTTAATAATGTATTTTAATTTTTCTTAAAGTTGCAATGCGATAGCTATAATTTTTTAAAATTCATTTATTGTTCAGTCTATAATTATAATAAATTGCTGTTTATAATGGAAAATATTATTATTATTAATATCATTTTCAGTATTTTTACATTTTATTGTACGTACAATGTCATACCTAAGTTGAAAAAAATGTTTATTGATGCCAATTTATATGGGAAAGATTTAAACAAAAAAACAGAAAATAAAATGTGAGTATACATAATTTTGAAGTACACTTAACTTTGATGACTATTATTTTTGTGCTTACCATAGTACAAATGTATAATATTATTTTAATTTTCTTATAATTAATCAATTCTTAGCTAGTGGGTTTTATCTATGAAAACAGTTATTAAAATGTTTATTATTTGATAAAGGGCTGTAAGAAAAAATGACCGTAGTCAATTTTTCAAATTTTAATTTCATACATTTCAAGTAATTTTAAATATGTAAATTTGATTTTTAATAAAATTTAAACTGTATTAAATGGTTAAAGAACAATAATATATTATTATACAGAGCACAGCCTGAGAATAGACCTTTATTGACATGCATAATGCTAAATTTGTAAAATTGCTAGAAATTCGGTGGGGGGGGGGCATTATTTTACTCTCCATGTCATATATTATAATTGTTAGCCATAATGCCTTTGTGGACTTTGGATCACCGTGTTTATGCTTAAATACATAATTAAAGATTGGAAATTCAGTTGTGAACACTGCGGCAATGTCAACTACATTTTAATATTGGTCGTCACGGTCCTGTAATCACTCCTAAAACCATTTTTACAATGGATAAATTAATTTAAAATGAGAGGAACAGTAATGAGTTAGAAACCACTAGGCCCCCAAAAAAAAAGTGGCAATCACTAATGTTATTTTCACAATTAATATTTTCAAATAGCATGTCATAATATGTTTCTATTAAAAATAAATACTTTTTTTTTTTCAATAATTACTGCTAAAAGAAGGTTTATTCCTGTGAAGCACTCTGTATCTTATCCTTGTGTCTTGTTAAGTCTGAAACTTTAAAATTGTATTAAGAAAACTTTTGAAAATTTTGACTATGGTAGTTTTCCCTGCAGTCCTTCATTTTTGTTTATTGTTTTAGACCTGAAGCTTTTGGTGTAGTTACTGGATGTACGTTTCTAATAACTATGTTTTTATTAATCCCTGTTATTTTTGGAAGACACATGTTACAAAACGAAGGCAGCAAATTTCCACATAGCGAAGTAATAGTTTAATTTAACTAAATAAATTGTCAGAGGTTTTCTATGTTCTACTGTTGTAATATTAAAATAATTTTAGAATAGTACAATAATATAATTGTAGATATTTTTGGGCTAATAAATTAGTTTGAAGGAGCCAAGATCCATCAAGCCTCCCCATTTTACACTAAGTAATTTATTTATTTGCCTTGACGCAGGTGTATAAAAAACAATTTAATTTTAAAATATATAAATTAAGTTTTTACTGGTAAAATGTAATAAGTTAATTACTAAATTCCCCTTTGATTTTTTAGTGCAAGATTTAAATTGGTCAAGTAATATAATTGAATGTTTAATGTGGTCAAAGGTGAATAGTTATCTTAATTAATACCCCACAAAAACTACTTAAAAACTCAAATTTGATGGCACAAAATCTTTTTTATTTATAAGTCTACTTTACACAGTAAATTATTTTTGTGTTTTAGTTTGTGGAAATGCTTGCGGCACTTTTATCAATTTGCTGTATGCTTCTATTGGGATTTTCAGACGATGTACTCAATTTACGATGGCGGCATAAACTTTTGTTACCGACTATTGCTTCGTTACCATTACTCGTTGTATACTACATTAACTTTAACTCTACTACAATTATTGTACCTAAACCATTACGAGAAGTTGTTGGTCTGACAATAAATTTAGGTAGATAATAAACTGTTCTATGCTGTTAAATTCTTTGTATATCGTATTTTTTAAATAACTATTATTTATTACTTATTTTATATTTTAGGAGTTTTATACTATTTATACATGGGAATGTTAGCTGTATTTTGCACTAATGCCATTAATATTCTAGCTGGTATAAATGGTTTAGAAACCGGACAGAGTCTTGTTATCGCCATATCAATTTTAATATTCAATTTAATCGAGTTGACTGGAGACTGTGGCCAAGCGCATTTATTCTCATTGCATTTTATAATACCATTTATAGCATCTACATTTGCTTTAATCAAATATAATTGGTTAGTGAATTGTTATTAGTTATTTATTTATTCAAAAATTTTAACCACCTTTTTTTCTAGGTATCCTTCTGAAGTGTTTGTCGGAGATACCTTTTGTTATTTTGCTGGTATGACGTTTGCAGTTGTTGGAATTCTCGGTCATTTCAGTAAAACTATGTTACTATTTTTTATACCACAAATTTTTAATTTTTTATATTCATTACCACAATTGTTTCATTTTGTATACTGTCCTCGGCACCGTGTTCCTAGGTATTTATTAAAGTCAATTTCAAATCCATACAATACTTTATTTGAATTAGGATAAATAAAACAACTTTTTTTTTACTATTTAAACCTTATAAAGTATTAAAAATATTCTGTTTTCATTAGGTTAGATAAGTATGGAACTCTATCTCCAAGTTACGCAGAATGCAACAGTGGCGATATATCAATAATTGGTAGAATATGCTTGAAAGTTTTTTCGTTCTTTAGAGTTATCGACATCAAAGAGACGGCCGATGGGAAATTTAAATGTAACAATTTAACACTTATTAATTTGTGTTTACTCTTTTTGGGACCGAAAAAAGAAAAAACTTTAACAATTACATTGTTAACTATTCAGGTAAACCACATTACTAAACCCTTATCAAAAAGTGTTGTATTTATAATTATTTATCTTTATTTTTAGATTGTTTGCAGTATTTTAGCGTTTGTTATTCGTTACCCCTTAGCATCAATATTTTATGATGTATAAAATGAAATCGGGGAAATATATTACATTTTTCTCGTTGTGGTCAGATAATTGAAGACTGCATAAACAAATTCAATTATCAATTACTTAATAATAATGTTGACTGTTTAAAATAAACAATGTTTGTTACCTATTTCTATATTGTTGAAAAATTACTAGGTATTTTTATTTTTAAAACTTTTATTGCTTTACCGAAGTATATTAGTTGTTAAATATAAGTAAAAGTTAATTTGATTGTAATTAAATGTATTTGTTATTAATTCAAATTAATAGGTATATCAGCAACTTATGTAATTAATTAGTCCATAATTTTAAAATTATTTTTTGTTAATTAATTATTTTAGTTTAAAAAAGTTAAAAATTGCAGTTTTTTACAATGAAATAATTATTTAACTAAAAATGATTTTAAAACTGCCACGATCGATGCCTTGAAAATGTTATGAAGAATTTTAATGTTTTTTTCAAAACTTAAATTGAAGTAGGCTTAGGAACAGTACGTTTGAAGTAGAAAATTATGTTTTTGTACAAAAATAGATCCAACATGCGTTATAAAACAACTTTTATTTCTAAAAAACAATATAGACTTCCTGTCTATCAGGCTACCTAAAGTAACACAGTATACATTTCAGACCAATTTTATAATTTATAAAGTACAATTCATAAAGTTTGATAAGTCATTTAAATAAATAATAAATAGTAATAATAGAAATAATAAATGTAATAGTTTAAAACACATAAAATAATCTGGTAAAAAGTATAAATAGTATAAAATTATACTAAAGTAAAGATATTTTTTAACTAAAAATGTATATATTATAAACTAAACATCAAAATTTACAAATGTATAATTACTTGGTTTAGCAAAAAAAAATTGTACCGTTTTTTTTTTTTAATCTAGGTATTCAAAATTTTGACTACACAATTTTTCCTAACAACATCAACATAATTTCACAACAGTTTACAAATTTTCAATCTTTCAGTTAGGTCAAGATATTTTTACAATAAATTAATATTTTAATGTTATTAAGGTAAGTAAATATTAATAAATAAGCAAATACAGAAGCTACATTTATAATTTATTTGGTAGGCTAATAATTATGTTTGTCAAAATTGTAATAGTAATATACTGTTAGTATCGTTAAACTAAAGATACTTGTATTGACACTTAAAGTGTAAAAATATTCAAACAATAATACAAGTATTCAAAAAAAAAAAAAAAATTTAAACAATCTTAATTTTGTTTTAATGTAGTTGAAAATTAAAAATATTTAGCCAAATGAGATATCAGTGTAGTGGTCATAAATACAGTACAGTTTATATGGACGTTGAAGACAGGATAATAAGTTATTCAATAAATAAACAACTGAATTACAGTTGATTAATAATAAATTATAATGAGACTTTTTTAAATAAAATTAAACAAAATATAAAGAGATTGGAGGTGATACTACGATGTCTAACAGCAGGTAAACAGAAATACTAGGTGGCGTTTATACTGTTAGTCTGATACAGAATATTCTTCCAGGGGTTTTGCACAAAATCCAATTAACTTCAACAACAAATATTTAAATATAGTGTCAAAAATCCGTCTATGGATTACAGTGTCCATGGAGAAATATATGATATGTCCATTTAATCTTCCTCTGGTCACATTCTAGCTGAAAAAACAACAAATGGTTAAATAATATTAATAATAATTATAATATAAAACCAATTTTAAATGAATTACTAATGTTAACGTTTGTTAATTGTGAAGTTAAAATTAAATATAACGAAAATTGATAATGACATTTTTTTATACCATTTAACTTCCAACTTTTTATACCATTCAATTTAAATTATCTATCAATAACACTTGGAAGAGTGATTTCATGAATAGACTATATTTGTGACCGGTATATATCAAGTGGACCTAGTTTGTTATCTCATACCAATGAAGCGTAAGATCTACAAGTAAATGCAATTTTTCTTGTACAAAAACTAACAATGTTAGAAAATAGTAAATTAAATTATTAAAAAGAAAGATAATTTACATTTGATTTCTTTTTTTTTAAATACCCTATATTAGGGTGTTTTAGATTGATATTAAACTAATTTTGTATCAATATTTGTATTAATACTACAAATCTAGAATGTTTTCCATACCTAATCTATTTAGACAAATGATAAAACAATTATTTCTTCCAGTTAGTGTCGATGGAGAACTGTTCAACCAGAATCTTTGACTCATCTTAAAACTGAAAGATATGTTTTTAATAAATAAGTTAAAAGTTGAAATGTTAATTATTAAAATAATAGAGATTAAATCAATTAAAACAATTTTACAAAAAATAACTCCATACCTGTTACCACACTTAATCAGACTAGAGATAGTTTCAGGAATCGAACCGCTCTAATGAATAAGCATACCGATAAGCTTTTTATGACTTCAGACAACTACCATCATACTGTAAAACATAATTTACTTGTATTAATAGTTTTATTTAAATAGGATGTAATAATATTGTCACACAAATTAGTACAATATAGTGTATGTCTGAACTTTGTCGCTAGGTACTATAATTGATAAATATATTATGTTATTCATAATAAATATTGCAAGTTTATATTATGTGAAAATAAGAGTTTTGAATTATGAATTAAAAAAGAATTCTAATAAAAATATTCATTTAACATTAATAAGAAACGAAAGTAAATTTTATTTACCAATAATTATCGTTGTCGTCATATGAACTAGTTGGTTTTTTGTCATTATAAATGTATCGTAAAAATGTGTACTATTTAAGATAATATAATATATTTTAACACGGTTATTTTTTTTATCATTTGAATTATTGCCGTTTAGTTCTAGAGATAACAGTTAACTCTGACAAACGTTAGTTATATTTTAGTTACTTTTATTGTGATAGAATTGGCAGACTGATAGAATGTGATTTTATATTTTGGTGTTTCTGGGTTGGTCACGCTGATAAAATAAAAATTGTGTTATCTTTTGGAAGAACTCTTATCTCTTATCATTTTTTGGAAGAACTGCCCTAAACACGAAAATTATCACGATGTAGTTATCATAAACTATATCGGGATAACACCACTTTTCCCAAATTGCATACGTTACCAAGAATCAATTTTTCCATTTTACTCTTTTTTCTAACTACTAATAGGCAATAATTGACCTGCCGCACACTGGAGCAAAAGGTCCCCAAACTGGCAAAAAATAAATTTGAATTTAAACTACGAACAATTTAGCAGTATGTAACAATACTTTATTATATTATTTTTGTTTGTGCGATAACACGGTTAAATAGGTCACGCTATTTTAGTAACATGGTTAATTTATTGCTCGCGACCAAAATATGATATTATGGCACTATTATTATATTATATTTTTGCCAATTTTGGAGGCCTCTTGCCCCACTGTGCATCGATAAGAAATTTGTCATAGGCCTAGTTAACACCGCACACGTAGGTCACGTTACCTGACCATTATTCTGTGAGGTAAAAGTTAAAACGGTGTAAATGTATTAGTTCATTATTATAATTGGTCAGGCCAGGTCATATTTCTTTGCTTTCCTCACCAATAAATGGCCGTTGACAATAATAGCGTTTCTGATGTAAACAGTTTTAGCTAATAGGCCGTCATTACGAATTGAATTTTATGATAAGATTTAAAACATAAAAGTGATATATTATGTTTTTACATTCAATTATTCAAATACGTTCATAATATTATAGTATTGTTAATATTATTTCAAGTTATAACAGTTATTAATTTATTATAATGGGCTTGAGACAAATTTAGGACACATGGTGTAAACATAAAACGTTTATAAGTAAGGCACCTATTGTAAGGTGTATACCTATTATAGTTATAACGGTGTAAACTAGGCCATAGACATTGGTAATTTATACAATTTGGGAAAAGTGGTAGCAATCCGGAAACATTTTTGAGAAAAAAAAATTATGTCATCTGCTCAAGGGCAGTTAACTTTAAATTTTATTTCTTAAGTATGTAAAATAAGTAGTTAGCAACATTTCAAAATCTTAAAGGGTGGTTTTCTTAGAAACCCAAGTTCCGAAAATAAATTAAACAATAACCAAATATAACTGCCAATTTTCAAGATAGGAGAACGATTCTTTTTTTCGTATTATTAACCCAACATTCACAATTTATATTTTAATTCTGACATTTTATTGCTTTTTTCTACTTTCATATATGCGATTCAGTTAGGTAAGGTACTCGATGAGGCGACGTCTCAGTTCGCGCGGCGCGTGATGGCGAAAAAGGAGGAGGTGGTAAGAGTCTGCAGAGAACAGGGGTAGCCCGGCGGGGCTGAAAAACCAAGGTGATGCTCGGCGGCCGATGCGGAACCGAGCAGATAAGCAAATGATGTACATAATGCATATAGTATTTAGCAGTTAAATGTGGACCGAAGGCTGCAACCTTTTCTGAATTTTCAGGAAGTATAAATTATTAATTACAATTCAGTAGCACTTTTTAAATTGTGGTAAACCAATGGGTAACTCTCTCCGAAATAAACAACCTAGCTAAACCACCAAGAGTCGAGACTATTAAAATTTAATAGGTACAATTGTATAAATATAATCATGATTACAAATGGAAGGATTGTCGTTTGAGTTTTCTAACTAAAGTTTAGACTAAACTAGAGTTTCCTAACTCGCAGCCGGTTTTACCAACTATTGTTAAATACACTCTTAAGTCTTAACACAATGTTAGTTAACAATTCATATTTCATTTAAATTTAACATCCGGTTAAATTAAATGAGCTACACATAAGACCATAACATTATTATTGTTAAATTCTATTTGTTAAGTTAACAAAACGTTAGTTGGGTTACCAAAGCGGACCTCGATTGCAACGTTCTCATTGGTTATCAAGATATGTGATAACGGATAAGTGATTGTATTTTGTAACTTTTTATATACCTACTCAGTTTGAATTAGAAAGTAGAAAACAAATTAATCTCACCGTTTGTAAAGTCGCAGTTAACTTCTATTTCATAATTGTTTGCTCTGCTAAAATAATAAAGTGATAATTTTTCTATTTGATTGTTGTTAGTACGACAATATAATTGATGTATATTTTTAGATCATTGAATGTATGATAATTTGCTGATAGAAACATTAATAGCTTATA